ACGTGATGATGGTGTGCAGGGATTTGTGTCATAAGAGGACTGTGGCATACATTGCATACCAATAGGTGAACAAACAGTCATGTGCATGCGAAGACATGCTCAGATGTTCATTTTCCTCCACATGCTATGTAAGTACAAAACTACATTCAGAGCAACGTTAGACTTTCTCATTGTCTGTCATTTTGACGGACAGGGTCGTAAAAATTCTGTCATAATATGTATCCGTCATTTAAATTTTCATATTTCAATGACTTATCATCCTTCAAAAATCATCAGATTTGGTGATTAAGAAACATTTCTTATTGTTAAAAACGTTTAAAAATGTTAGTTTGTTTGTTTTTTTAAACTGATATAACTAAATACTGACCACAAACGTTTGAATGGTAGTGTACATATTTATCAAAAGGTACCAGGTGTGTGTCATCACCTCAGGGAACCACAAGTAATCCACAAGTAAATGTGTGTCGGTGCGCTGTTTTTTTTTGTTTTTTTTTTTGAGTCACTCGACACCTTTGGCCCCTCTTTTGTTTACCACTGTGTGCTGTAGCTTGTTTACTTCCTGTTAGATGAATGGAAGTACAGCCAATCAAACCAGGTCAGAGAGAGAGAGGAACGAGAAAATGTACTCACAGAGGTCCATGAGAAATAGACCAGGCCTGAGAAACTGCCAGCACAGTTTGTTTAGCCTTTTTGAAGTTTCTGGACACTGACTAGCTGCTGCGAGTGGGATTAATGGAGGGTAGACACACAGTAAAGCTAAGTAATATGTTGCCATTAAGAAGTTGCTATTCAGGTGGCTACAATTACATTAAAGCACATGACAAGATTAATTTTTAAACATTTAAATGCATTTATAGTAGGTGCATCACGAAAAGTTGAATTCTGCTTAACCTTGTCATATCCACATCAGTGTCTGCTAGTCATGCTACCTCAAATCGCCCTCTTTCACTGAAAACAAATGACTTCGTTGCTTTGTCACTGCAAATCGCTGTCAGTGCACGCACCCTAAGAAGTCAGCTGGCTTGGCGGATAGCATTTGGAAATGCAAGAGATTGTAGGGCGTTTTCAGACCGTGGCTGGATGATATGCTTCTGTATATTTCTGAGTGTGTATTTGCTTGTGCGTTTGTGTGAGTGTGTGTACAGTATGCGACAGCCCGATCGATCGGTGAAGGATAAGAAGAGACGTGCTTCTGTTCCACCTCTCCACACACTGATCTTCTTTTTCTCCTCTCAGCACTCTTCGTCATTTTTGTCCTCTCCTTTTACTGAGAATTGTAGCTATCTGGAAGAGACAGCTGGAGGACTATGCCCCACTGATTCCTTACCCACAATTCAATCTGCCCACAGACCACTGAACTCTCTCGTTCTCTGTCTGCCTGGTGATATTGTGAAATGAAAATGCTTTTTTCCTTGGTAAATTTTACATAAAATATTGTAGTACAGCCTACTTAGACTGATATTTTAGACAAAAAATGCGCAATCATCAGCTGATTTTACCTGCAGGACTTCCTGCAACATGATTATATTTCATTGGCATGACAATTAAATAATACATTTAAAGACTACATGAATATCTAAAGTATCTTATGTTTTTGATGCTTCATGAAAACGTCTGAAATGTCTGTGTATTTGACAAGTATTGCATCTAATCCACTTCATCTGTGATGAAAGTACCCAAACACCACGTGAGTCACCACGCATCACTACGGGAAGCAGAAACTAGCTGAATTGATGGCTCTGTTTTTAATTCCACCCCGACTGCAAGCGGTAACTCTCGCCAATCGGTCTGAGCAGCGCCGTATAAAGTCGAACACACCTAATGTCTAATAAACAATACTCAGTGCAGGAGCCATCTTAATATAAGAAGTCAGGTTGTATCGATCACATGATAAAACAGAAACAAGCCAAACCAAGGTATACCAACAGAACAACATTCATAATGCATGAAATAAGCTCGCTAAGGTTTAAAGGCATCATTCTGAAATATATCAAAAACTGCTAATCAAGCTATTTCATGGGTTATTTCAAGGTAAAAAAGAAGTTGATGACGGCAAGCCACTGATTAAGGAGTTTCACATTTCTTTGAGAAAGTCATTCCTTCCTGTATAATTAATTCCTCATTGTTGGGTATGATGCAAAAGTAAGTCAATCATGTACCAAGGGATTTTTAAAGAAGATTTCTTTCCTTGAATTAAGGTCATGCAAATTAACCAGGGACTTATAGGGAGCCGCAAAATATAGCTAGACAGGCTAATGCAGTGACTGGTGATGTTTTTTTCATGGCCACATGCTATGATCCCCTAAACATTACTGCTTCTGTCTGACTTTGAAGATGAGTAGGCCTTCAGGAATCATTGGAGGTCTCTGTAGAAAATGCAGTAACACTTTAAAATACTGTTCCGTTTTAATGAAATGAGTTCACACTATTATCATTCTAGTTACTACTATTAGCTATAAATACACTCTGATAAATTAGTATGTAATAGTGCTCAGTTGAATAAGGTTGTTCACTAGCTAATCGGTAACTACTAACATTACTAGTGAGTTGTCACTACCTTCACTTTAGAATTAATTAGGCATTATTCATTTTAATTATGAACTTGTATATGCTAGTTCTTAGTAGTCATCTGGGAGGAATAAAAAATAGTTGTTATTGACTCACTGAATTACCACATTCGACTATGCACTATAGTTCATGAGTCAGTTCTTGTTAGTTAATCTCATCTTCCTGTGTAGTTATTCATTAATGACGGAACTGAATTCTAAAGTTTTAGAGAAAATGCATAAAAGCAATTAGACCCATATTATTGCAACAACAACAACAAAAGACTTGTCAAGTTGTCACTGTAATGGTGGCTGTACAGTAATTATTATTACAAAACATATTTGTTTTGTACAGAGCCCTGAGCATTTCAAAATTAGCTTTCGTAATACTTTGAGTCTTTGCTACTCTTTGTATCGGACTGAAAATCCCTGCAATGCACCAAATTGAGGATGTAGCTCTCTGTCTCTCACTCATTTCTTATGATGTTTTCAACCCACTTTAATACACTATGAGGCTTAGACTCAATCTTAACAGAAATGTGTTCCTCTACAAATGTGGCATTTCTGATTGAAACGGGACTTTTAATGAGAAAAGAAATGTTGGATGAGATTTAATTTTCTCCGCAGGGAATTGATTGGATGGTTGAACAGGTTGTTTGAGAGGAGTGTCTGTAAAATAAGAAGAGGCACTACAAATTAGGGCTGCACAATTAATCGAATTTGTAATCGTGATTACAATTATGGATGCCACAATTATGTAATCGTTCAAAGGCACAATTATAAAAAGTCCACTTACATTATTCTGTGTGCTTAAAATGTGTTTTTTACAGCTTATCTTAAGGGTTTTTTCCCCATTGTTTTAATTTTAGTTAGTATAACATAATTAGCATTAAAGCAACACTATCTAACATTGTTTACTTAAAATAATGTTTCCAAAATATTATCAGTGGTTCATCAAGTCGTAACAGGGTGAAAGGCACTTCTGCCGAAGCCTGACGGGGTCTGTATCGCTTTTACTGGCACTATGTAACTTCGGGGTTCGGGTAGGAACCCGACCATAAAAAGAACTACAAAATTCGACTGCTTTACATCAAGCACTATAATAGTCATTATTTTGTTTTTCTTCGTTTCTGGTGTCGCAATACATCATCCTTTCATGAAATCATGTAACATACTCTACTTTGTCTGTGGACATTGTTCATTCTAAAGCCGGTGCTGGATAAACAGCGAGCGTGCGTGCGACGGTAGGCTAAATTATTTATGGACAATTTCGTTTCCAACCAGTAGGGCGACCGAAGAGGAAAAGTTACTTGGTGTTACTTTAAACCATAGAAAGGAATTGAAAGTTTTTCAGGAGTTTTCAGCCGTTTTATTTTGATATAACAATTTGCATGCAGTCACTTCGAACAATGGCATAAAGCTGTTCAAAACATCATTCAATGTAAATTGTGATAATCGTAATTAATAATCGCAATTATAATTTCAAGGCAGTAATCGACAATTATGATTTTTGTCATAATCGTGCAGCCCTACTACAAATTATTCCATTTTGATGACACTTTACAAAGACAAACATTTTTCTAATTTATTTATTCATTAATTTTTATAAGGCCAATTTAGTTACAATATCGTTCAAATATTACATCACATTGCATTGTTGATATTCTACTATCTAATTTGTAATGGCTTGACATGCTCCCTCTCTGTGCTGATTCATTATTACGTACAGCTAAGGGACTGGAGGCTGCTCCATTCAGTGTTTTGGGATGTTTGCCATCATTGCTTCTTTTGTTTGTGAAGTTGTATCCAGGTGATTTGGTTGATAGATTATGGTGCAATGGGAATGGAAAACCTGAGCATTCATAATGTAGAGAGTGATACTACAGCTCCTGACTATACTTAAATGGAGAAAAAACGAAATCTGCAAAATACAATCTGAAAGTTTGTGTTTTTACAGTCGAGTTGACCTACTATGTGTTAAGATTTCTCCCATTCATTTGTTTCGTACAAGTGGTCTGTCACCTCCCCCTGTACTTTGTCTCTGTTGTGGATGCATTGCACAGATTGCACATACACTTTAATGTTACAGAGAACTGTTTTCTTCTCATACTGTAATTTGAATATGATTTGTCATTGCTTTTGCTTGTAATCTAAATGTTTAATGCATTATAATGCAAATTTTATCAGCACAGTCATACAAAACTCAGATGCTCCCAGAGGACACTTTGTGATGTCAGTTTGTATGAAGACAACTAATATTTTCTCTCAAGATTGTGGCACTGGGGCAGCTGGGGGCTAAGTACTCGGTGAAACGTTCATCCACAGTAGGCTCGTTGTTGGTGTTTTTTTTTTTTTTTTCATCTGGAAGCTGAATAACATTACGTAACCTGTTCTGACGTGGCGGCACTGAACGAGGCCGCAGCATGCTGACTTTGTTTTCCCCTGTCATTGCAGATCTCGTCATCAGAGTGGCGAAGGATAAATTCGGAGCCATACAATCCGAGTACCAGAAGGTATGTGCATGTGACTGTGCCTACCTGAACCTCCATGCCATTACGTGCTCCGCCACCGCAGTTGAGATGTGGGGACATTGTCTCAACGCATCTATTACGAAACAATATTTTAATTGAGTATGAAAGCCACGGAGCGAGCTTTGCCCTGTTATGCTCTTATTCTGGAAGAGCTGTTAATTGGTTTTGGCATTATGGCCTGTAGTAAATAGAGGAAGAAACTATTTGTTGCTTTTTAATAATGAAAATGAGTTTAATTAAACAACAGTTCTTGCTTTGAAGTTTCAGCATCCAGCTCTTGGGACCAAACAAACATATGGGGCAAAACTTAATGAGTCGGTTTCACCAACATTTCCTGTGTTGTTGAGAGGAAATATGATCCTGGATATGCACAGCCCGATTATAGTGCTCAAAGTGCTTCAATTTATCACATTTATTTCTCAGCCTATGTTATGTTACGTCATAATATATTCTATTCTATTCTATTATATATTAATAATTATATTATATTACAATTATTATATAATACAATTATTATATATTATAATGGATATCATTTAAGTTTTTATTTTTATTTACACTTATATTCAGCAAGGACACTTTCATTTTAAATCACTAAATTGATTTAAAATTACATTTAAGGCTTTTAAATTGTTCGAAAAATTTCAATTTCATATAAATGCTGTTCTTTTGAATTAATTCAGTGGCACAACTGTTTTCAACATCAACAATATAAAGAAATCAGCATTTTAGAATGATTTCTGAAAGGATCATGTGACACCGAAGATGTATTTTTTTATATATTATTTATTTTTAGGGTTATTCAAGAGTAATTGATTTTATTCAAGGGTAATCAATTCATATCTATAATTAATTTGGCTTTAATTTAAATGAGTATACCAAAGTATTTAGTGACATTGTATAAGGCTGAAGAACGATTATCTCAAATTTGTCAAACATCAGCCAATTAACCTATTATTACACTTCACTTTTGTTGTTTTGCTCTTGTAACACTTAAGAATATGGAAAGCTGGATACGGATGCGACTGTCGGTCAAATCCATGATTCACTCAATCCCTGGGGCTGTTAAAATGGGTCTGGTTTCCATTAAAGTGTTCTTCCTGGTCCTTAAGTGATTTTATTTGCTTATTTGTTTGACTGTTTATTTGATTTGGCTTACCATCTGTTCTGTATTTTTTTTTTTTTTCTATTTTTGCTGTTCTGCATGCCTCATCATCTGGCACCTCCCAGCCAGAAAACATTGTTCTGACGCTACAGGTAATGTGTGTGTCCTGCTAGTCGTGTCAAGGGCCAAACCGGACCCAAGTCTGACTGACCACCCTCATTCCTTAGTTCCTCCTAACCCTTACAGTACCCAGCCCTGTACTCATGCAGTTTACAAGTTTGTTTTAATGTAACTTTCTGGTCTATTTTTGATTGTGATTGTGTCATCCATAACGCAACATTTGGTAGATTAAAAATTTGTAATAGACATAGGGTGCACTCAATAAGCTCCCTAGCTTCCTAGCTCCTGAATCAGTATATCGTGTACACATATTCCGGCACTGGTAAGGACAGTAAGGACCCTGGCTCACTACACATTGGGACATTGACAACAAAACTGTTGTCATGTCATCATCAATAACACTGCAGGTATTTATGAACAAAAGCATTTGTGTTTTTAATTTTATGTAAAGTACAGGGACAATAGTAAGGAGAAAGGAAGTCAGAGAAGGAGGAATTATGACACAGAAATTAAAGAAAAACCAATTAGAGCTGTTTAATATTCCATTTAATGGACAGCAAATGATTTGCTAACAAAAATATTAAATTTCTACAAAAGGCACACTAGAAGTTGAATATTTCTACTTCAAACTGTATTATCTTTAACGTGGCTGCTGCAGACAAGAGGCATTGTATCCAAGATCAGCAAACATTTTATTAAAACAGGACAACTGAAATAAATCTAGACAAGGAATGAGATAAGTCCAGCAGGCACATGAACAAGAAGCCACAACAAACACACACACGATACAACTGTATATTGGCAACGCTAGACAAGGAACTAAACAAAAGAAACACTGGGGTAAATATACACAAAGGGAAAACGAGGTTAAAAAGATAACAAGGGGGAGTGGCTAATTGTCATGGGAACACACAAGGGTAACCAAGGGAACTAACAAGCCACATCTGGGGAGAACTACAAAACATGGCACAAGACAGGAAATAACACAAAAGTCCTCACTCAAGACGGGAACACAGGCTGGGATCGTGACATTATCGACTGCCTTAGAACCACATATCTATGCGCTAACTGCTACACCTCAGCTCGAAATCAACATTACACACCTTTAATACAGTTTTAAAATTGGGAATATTATAGAATTGAATTTAATTGAATTCATTGAACTTTTTTCTTGGCCATCCTATATTAAAATCACAGGTATTAAATGTCTCTTTCATCTCTTGTAAGAGATGGTAAGAAAATCACAAATAGTAATTGGTAAGATAAGAATAGTAAGAATAGGAGAATAGCACAGTAATTGGTAAGATTTCCTCATGTGCTGTCGGCAGTTCCCCTTCGTCAGATTACAACGGGAGTCAGAAGTGATTCTGACGAATGGGGATCGCTTGCGAGAACCTATCTACTTCGAGTGAAATAAACCGAGCCAATGCATATTGGCATGTGCTAATTGCACCAGCTGCTGTGCATCGCAGCGCGAGCATATATAATAAGCAGCAGGTGCGTTCGCATCTTTGTCTTTCGCTTTGGAGCCAGACGGTGAATGCTGTTCCTGTCTCCTGCAAGATTTCTACACTGTTGATCGAGTCTCTGCGAGGAAGCCTCTGTGTGTGGTGTTGGTATCATGGCGCGAACAGCGTTGGTTGCAAACACTCCGTGTCGACAGTTGAGAGCAAAAACAACTGTTTTCACAGCTTTGTTGGTTCAGTGGGCGTGACACTGAGAGTGAGTGCTCACACAGGATAGCACTATTCCCCGTACGGCTCAGCACCTCAGAGCACTTCTAAAAGAGCGAACACGATCCGTCTGCGTCTTTTTCAAAATGTCATTCAGATCGCGTGTTTCTAGATGTGGTCAATGTTTGACAATGCTGACGGGAATGATTGCTGTATCACGTGCTTGGGCTATAGGCACGCTGAAATGATGCTCATGGATGTCTCATGTTCTCGTTGCGGGAACCAACATTACGGTCGAGACTCCGTTACCTCGAAAGAGGTGAAGCCCCTTCGCTTATTCCCTGATTTAGCACTTATTCTGCCCAGCAGAAGAAGCCTACTTCGGTTTATACCCTTGATGACCTGAGGATCACAGTGAGAGGTAACCCACCGAGCCAGTCTCCTCGGGCCCCTCACTCCTCTATAACGCTTCCCCCGGAGTCATTTCTTTTGGAGATCCACCGGATGATCAAATGTCAGGTCGCTGCATCGGAGGATGAGCTAATGTCCTCTGGGGATGACGACTCGGCTGCGCTGCCTCCTTCGGGTGTGCTAGCATTGTCCGAGTCAGACCCGGAGCTCACGGCTATGCTTTCCCTGGCCGCCGGAAGTGACCCTACACCATGTTCCGAACCTTTTCAGCTGGAGGTTGGTATCTTGTGGTGGCCCGTGCTGGTTTCAATGCCCCGCCCCAGAGCCCTTCTTCCCGGAAGTGCATGAGGAGGTTACCAGAACATGGACGGCACCTTTTTCTTCCCAAAACCGTTCTGGTGCCTCTTCCTCCCTCACTACCCTCTATGGCGGAGCAGCTAAGGGTTACGTGGAGATCCCCCAGTGGAGCGGTCTGTGGCAATGCAGCTGTGTTCCAAGACACCGCTACCTCTGGCGCGCCTCCCCTCCCGGTCGTGTCCGTTCTCGCGGACAAGGCTTTCTCAGCCTGTGGAGAAGCTGCTTCTGCCCTGCATGCCATGGCGCTCCTGCAGGTCTACCAGGCCAAGGCGCTCAAGAAATTGCACTAAGTTAGTTTCGACACAGGGGTTATGCAGGAACAGCGTGCAGCGACGGACCTCGACCTTCTCTGCATAGAGCTCCTACTTCTGCCCAACACTCGGTCAGGCCAGGAGGCCCAAGCGGAGCGCTGGAACGGTAGCAGCCGTGGCGTTTTGGTAGAGACCCATATTCGTCAAAATCACTTCTGACTCACGTTGGAGTGATCTGACGAAAGGGAACGTCTCGGTTACGTATGGTAACCCTCGTTCCCCAAGTAGAGAACGGAGACATGAGTCTCGCTTCCGCTGTACGGCCGAGTCACAGTCACAGCTCCTCAGTGGAAAAGCAATGATGTGTATGCTGCTGATTGTTATATTCCCGCGCCGCGATGCACAGCAGCTGGTGTAATTGTATCATGTGCACTGGCTTGTTTTATTTCACTCGAAGTAGATAGCGATCCCCATTCGCCAGAATCACTTCTGACTCGCGTCTCTGTTCCCTACTTGGGCAACGAGGGTTACCATACTTAACGGAGATGTTTTTAGCTCAGCTATGACCCAGTGAGGTGTGCAGCTGCGCTAACAGGGAGGATGACATCCATAGATGAGCCAGTCTGAAGCTTGAATATGCTGATACTAGAGAAGTGCAGCAGAGGGCCAGTGAGACTCAGAGTAGAACGGTCAGTATCCTCATGCCCTATAGGTGTTATGCTATATGTGTGAATTCCCCCTTAGTGGCTAAGCTTTTGTGTAATTTACAGCGAGACTTTCAGTTCTTACCCACATAGGCATGATGGGAAATGAGCTTTTAAAACCACTTTTAGAAAATTTTTAATATGGAAAGGCTCTACACTTGAGGAGAAGCAAGGGTTCTTGGTGACAGACAAAGCCTCTGGTTTATTCAGCGGATTAAGCTTATCCGGCGCAGACTAGCCTGAGGAGAGCCCTGCTCATTCAGAAGTGTCCATAATGCCTCGGGACGTGCAAACGAATTCAATGGCAGCATATGGATAAAATGTTTAACATTATACAATCATGTTACATGCAGTATGGAAATTTTGCATGGTTTAATTTCCTTCATTTGAAATGCAGTTTCCTTGGAAGGCTTTTGAGACAATGATATGTACTTCACTTGGAAAAAAGCTTCCTCTCGCAAATGTTTTGCTTGTCTTTTTTTTAAATGGTGTACCGTGAAAATATTTTGTATCTTGTTAGATATATCTTGATCTTCCTTTTAAAATACAGATTAACATAATTATAATAATAACAATAACATTATAATATAATAATATGCCTCTATATTGAAGTAGTCATTAGTGTAATTGTAGTTCTAAAACATACACACATTACACTCTTTCCTTCCTTTTAGTAGTGGATGAACTAACCCGAAACTTAGATGTCTTCCTGGATGCAAGTCAAGACTTAACTGAGATTTATTTTCCTGAAATTCATTGTGGATCAGGCTTATACTGCATTGAGGAAACTATCTCAAATAATAACTCTTGCATTTATTGAACATTTAAGAAATTCTAATCCGTGAACCTTTGTGTTTTGTGCAGGTGATTTATTATGAGATTGGTTTTGTGGTGTGTGCGGCACTGGGCCTGCTGTTCACCGTGCTGCTTCCGCTGGTGGGGCTTCTCTTTTGTTTGTGCCGCTGCTGTGATAATTGCGGAGGAGAGATGCACCAGAGACAACGGAAGAACGCAGACTGCCTTAGAGGACTGCTGACCACACTGTTACTCACAACCACCTTCATTATCACGTAAGTTTTTTGCGTTTGTCTGAATGCGCAGGTGAAATTGCATGCCTAACCTTTAACACGGCAAGTGTCCATTTCCAAACCTAGTGTGATGCCTACATAGGCGGTATTTTAAGGTGTCATGTGCACAAAAAGGCAAAGGATGTTCCAAAAGGTCAAGATGCCTTCTTTTGAGCAGATTCGTATTCAAGTCATCACATACAAAATTTTAATGAAATATTAAATCCCATAATGCTTTCAACAAGTGAAAAATGTAATTTAAACTTGGTAATTTAAATTAATTAAATTTAGATGTGCTGATTGTAAATATAATTAAGTAAATGGCAACAATATTAAAAACGGTCATTGAAAAAAATGTATTTATATTTATTTATTTTAAGGTGACGTAGATGCATTGAACTTACTCAAACTCAATAGTAAGTACATGTAGTAATGTGTAACTGCATCAACATAAAATAAAGGGTGACCCATTTTTAGAGTGTCATATTCTTAATTTAGCAACATGCTAACATCAAGCTCTATTGAAATCAATTATGTCTCTAATTGTGCAAACATTACAAATTGGTCATGAATGAGTTGCCACTTAAAAGGCAGCAAACTATGTATGTAGTAGACAGCAAAGGCAGCTCAGTAGTTTTGGAACACAGCCTAAAGGTCCTTGCACACTAAGTCTGAAATTTTCGTATGCGGGTTTTTTTTTTTTTTTTTTGTATTCGTCATTCGGTAACTCTGAATTGTCAAGACACCTCTCAAAATGCTTGCTACGAATGCAAAAAACAAAAATTTTAGGACAGACTAAAGTTTCAGAGGCAGTGTGTAAACGTGATTGACACAACGTGAGGTCGTATTTATTTTTTAACGTGCAAAAGTGCAAGGACTTTAAATCATCAAGAGCAAATTCAAAAGCTGAGAAGTTCAATCAAAGACCTCAGCATGGATACTTTTGAGCTTGCAGTTAATCTCCCTGTCCTAAAGTCGCTATGTTCCCAAAAGCATATTGTTGACGAGTGTACACTACAGAAAGAAATACAGCAGGATCGCACAATAGCGGGAACTCCAGGATAGCAACAGCACACTGAATAGTGTTTGATGTGCCTCTACTTTATGGATTCAGCTGGCTGGCTCTTTATTAAAGATTCCATAGCAGATGCCTGGCTGCCTGGAGATGGGCATGTCTCCTAATGCAAAAAACTGGGATTTCAACCTTCATGATTTTGATCAAGCTCTAACTGGGGCTACTTTACACACTGCTCTCTTCAGGGTCAAGACAGGCGCCACCCAGTCTCTTTGTAGGAAGTTTAACTGAAAATCAGATATTATGTGATCATCCTAAAAGGACTCTCAAAGAGAGATTATGGAAATGTTCTTGAGTTTGAAGCATCTCCGGCGGTGTAGGTTATGAATACGAATAGTGTTTGTCTTAGTAATGGGTTGAAACCTGGAGTTTTGTTGACCCATCTTGTCCTTTATATTTTCCAAAGAAATTTGAATGTAATTGCTTGATGAACTCGGGCCGCTTTCTGAGTACTCTGCGGTTTTCTTTTGAAACATTGGGCGTAATGTAGGCTTGATGAATAATTAAAAAAGTGACCCAATTATGAAAAGAAAATTCATCATTAGTGCTCATCTTACTTTTAAGAGAAAAACAGTATATCTTAGGGACATTGTCAGCCCAGTCATGAACACAATGGTGTGATGATGGTCAGGCTAAATAACAGCTTTAGGGATCTAGTACTTGTATTTTTAGTCATTTACTTTACAGTTTTCTAGACTTTTTGTATCACTGACAGATATGCTGCAAGTAGTGAAAGATCATTTGATGTCATTTGTGTAACTAATTAGTAAGCTAGTAAGATTTTTTTTTTAAGTTTCTGAAAGAAGTTTCTTATGCTCACCAAAAATACAGTAAGAACTGTAATATTGTCATTACTTCAAAATATTGTCAGTAATATTGTCATTATTAATGATAATACATCATTACTCTATTCTTCAGTGTCACATGATTCTTCAGAAATCTTTCTAATATGCTGAATTGCTGCTAAAGAAACATTTCTTGTCATTATCAATGTTGAAAACAGTTGTGCTGCTGAATATGTTTGTTGAAACTGTGACACATTTTAAATGGAAATTAACATGGTTAATGTTTTTACTGTCACTTTTGATCAATTTATTTTGTCCCTTCTTGAATACGTATTTCTTTAAAAAAAATATTACTGAATATATAAAACATATAGCTTTTCTATGATTAAACGATGGGTGGTTTAATGAATGAATGTGTGAGTATTGCACAGTCCAGCTGCACTATGGATGTCATGTGGGTTCGCAGGCTCTACTGAATTGAATTTGACAGGCCGTCTCTCCAAGCTGAGAGTTGAGGCAGTAATATTTTTTTTTCTGAAGAATCAAAGCTACTATGTCTTATGTATACTGCATGTGCCATTATGTTAAAAATAGATGCTATTGCTGTTATTTACAAATGACCGCTCTCATAAATTGTGTCCTCGTTCTGAGGAAGGCTGCTCTTTAAAACATAATGATACACTTTGATACTTTTGCATTCCGTTTTTATTATATATTTATTTAATTATCTATGTGCATTTATATTTAAACGGTCCTAAATCAAAGTAATAGTTTAACAAAACATGGGTCATACATTTAGCATTGACATGGATAAGACATCAGGGTTTACATACATTTAAATTGGCAGATTCATTCATTAAATTAATAATCTTTAACCGTGGTGCTAAATGTAAAGTCGCACACACATATTCACAGAGAGAAACATTTCGTTGCTACTAGCTTGAATTTTAAAGCCAACAAGACTTAAGGGATCAACCTTTTCCTCAGATGTTTCCTGAAATTCCTTATATTAGGGGAATTAAAGTAGGGGCTATAAAGCTCAAATAATTGTTCTTTGGAACAATTAGATGAGAAATATTTGATTTTGACATTGAAATCTCTTGGTTTTGAAGATACGCAGTTGGAGACTGTGTCTAGGGAAGACATACTGTATGTAAGCTTACTGCGGGACAATCTGAGGAAAATCTGAAGCAAATATTTCCATTTGCTATCTAGTAGAAACCATTGAGATATTAAAGTGGTCTAACTTGTGATTTGTCATTTCTGTGTGGTGCTCTATGCGTGAGGGACTCTCTCGGCTGACTGTTTCTTAGCTGTGATTGGATATAGAGCAGAAACCCGGCTGCTACTCAGAAGGACTGTTATGCTCAGGGCACTGGAGGTCACCTCCTCTGCCAACCCCGGGGCTCAGCTTGGAGAGACGGCCTGTCAAATTCAATACAGTACAGCCTGCGAACCCACATGACATCCATAGTGCAGCTGGGCTGAGCAATACTCACACATTCATTCATTAAACCACCCACGTTTAATCATAGAAATGTTACATTTACACAGTATTTGTGCTGTTAAATGTCAGTTTAGCCTGTTTTCGATTTGTTCATCCTTGAAATTTTATAATGCTTGAATAGATCTTGATTCAGTCTTGGAAAATAATCGTTGTATACATACTGTATGTGTAAGTGCTTGTACTTTTACCTTTTTGCATGTGTGTGTGATCAGAGACAGTTAGCATGAGCGTCCGCCTTTTAGCCTCTCAGTTCAGGGTTCTTTATCGTCTTTGGTGTTTGCATCTCTAACGATCAATATTAAAGACTCCCTTGAATATTTTCCTGTTCGTGCGTATTGTTTACCACACCAGCCGTTGTAGTTGAGCAGTGAAGATAACTACAGATTTTAAGTCATGAGCTGTCAGTACAATACTGCAAAAACTTAACATATGTATAAACACATGACTGCAAAGTTGAATGTTGGGGAGTCTGATTTCATGACTTCATTCTCAGTTTCTATAGTAACAGCGACTACTCTGATTGGTGGACCTCTCTTCAGGATTTTGTGAACTTCAGTTAGAATTGGGAAATTGAAATCACACTGGCTTATTGTGAGATCTTCAAAGAGTTATGAAAGGGGTCCTTGGTGTAAATACATTTTAGAAACCCTGATTTAAGGTGACTATAGTGCCTGAGGATTGTCTATATCTGGTTAGAGACATGTGTAAGGGAGAAACGATGGTTATGGTGACAATATGTCCTGATGTGACTCTGCGTGTGTGTGTGTGTGTAGTAGTACAGCTCTCCTTGGCACATAGCTGTACAGTTGACTTCCCTTAGTATATTTACAGGGTTGTGATTGCAGCCTTTAAATAGATACATCATCAGATATTACCGTCATCAGTCCACCGAATACAAATGAAAATCAGTCATTGACGAGAGTTTCTTCTGTCAGTTATGATCCTGAATAATGAGTATTTTAGCTGTAATATTCAGCTGAAAGAAAACGCCCACAGTATTTTGGTAGCACAGAATGGAGAGAGAATGCTTTTGTTTGTGTGGTTAATCATGTGTCCTCCTTCTGTCCTACACTTGAATGGAAAAGAGAAATGATTGTCTCACACTTCAATTACCCGCCAGATCTGGCCTACTTTCACTGCACACATGGGGCTTGCCACTTCCATTTCCACAAACATATTCAATTTAAAACTTGTGGAAACCTTTAAAGGAACATTTCAAACATTTGCAAAAAAAAAAAATGCTTTTTTATTAATCTTCTGGCCAAAAGTTTGGACTCAATTTATATTATAATACCAGTCGTCAACAATAAAATATAATATCTTTTTGCTTTGTTAATTTATTTCCATTCTTACATTTTAGCGTCTTCAAAATCTCCAAGTCCATACGGAAATGCTTTTTAACTATTTAGAGGTTCCCATGTATGCTGGACACACTTGTTGCCTGTTTATCCAGTGCAATTCATCCATTTCCAGTTGTTTAACTGAAGAGACATACAGTAATATAAATTCTGTCAAACGTGTCCAAACTTTTGATTGCTTCTAGTGCATGTTTCATTTAGCAGTCATGGTATTTCAGTACATAACATCCTTTCCGTCCAGCCTTCTAAAATAAACGTCTGACCCTCATTTTCCATTCGACAGTGGCTGTCTTTGTCTGGGTCAGTAGCTTGGGGGTGTCGTTGTGGTGGGCCGATCGCATTACAGGTCTGTTGAGCACTGAGGAACCAACAGGTAGACCTGGAACGCCTTCACGGCAGGGCGAAATTAAACCCGGTGGGTCATCTTCTGTTTAAAGAGGCAGTCAAGGAGGTTCTCACCCCCACCCTGCTCCTCAAACCCCCTTAAGAGGCATTTATAGACAGGGGCGCTGTGGGACCTGCCCCAGGGTCCACTCTGGATGAATACAGCAATCATTGTGAAAGTAACACGATTCCTGCCTCCATTAGTCTATGGAGACATTCTTCAGTGCACTGAACCAACCCAAGTTATAAAGTCTATTTTTACCATGATGCCAAAGTGAGCTCAGAGCCGTCTTTAAAGTAAAGATTTAATTAGGAATATGTATTGGTTAAATAGCATACAGGTGTAGTTAACGACACAATAGTTTAAAAACTATCTCTTTTGGTACTGTCTGTACCTCAGATATCTATCTAAGTGACTTGTTGTCACTTGTTGTCGACACATGTAGGTATGTATGCTATGTATATTATTTTATATTTAAAAGATAAAGAATTTTCATTTTTTTAAACCAGAAATTTAGATCCAAAGTCTTCTCTTTGCTGTTTCATATGAGGTTCCCTGCAGAGTTTTAGGCCATCTCATCGCCCTCTGTGTGGAATGCATTTCGCCATCTTCAAAGCCTCTTTGTTCATTGCCTGCTATGTTTTCCCTGACCTTACAGAACAGAGCAGATAGCAGCTTACCAACACACAGTGAAGACAGAGAGAGGAGGACATGGGGAATAAGGGGGTGAGAAAGAGGAAAACAATGGTGCTTTGTAGCCAGCCACCCATTTCAGTCTGTGTCTGTGTCCCGCCCTGAGATCATTTTGCACAGTATACAGTATATAGCACATATCTGCATATAAAGCACAACATTTTATCACAATTAAGTGATTTCACATCTTAAAATTTGGCCAGTTTGCTTATTCTAATGAAATTCCTTGGTTGTGTGTCAATTGACTGTCAAGTCAAGTCACATTTATAATAGCGCTTTTTACTATACATACTGTTGAGATAACAGGAAAGTAATTCAAAAAGTTTGTTTCCAGAAGAAATTAGTGTCACAGTCCTTCTTAAGTAAGTTCAGTGATGTTTCATTTTTGTTTAAAAAAAGTTATTAATTTAGTTAATAAATATATAAACCATGAGTAAACCATTTCTTGATATTTCAGTTCTTAAATAATAGTGTCAATGCAGGCAGATCAATATTAATGTTGAATATAATATAAAATGTTAAATTTTATGTCTTCCACTACAGTAAGCAGCAATGTAATACTAAATGAATGTATTTAAATTACAATTCAATAAAAAATCATAAAGTTACACCCTAAAAAATGGGTAGCATTATATCATCATCTTTTCTTTTGTTCAATTTTCTTTACAAAACAAGAATGACACTATTTAAAATTCACTGCAGTATATGTTACACGGCCCACGTTTAACGTTACAGTACAAAATTATTCCCATGTTGCTCCTTTTGTATAATTGCTAATGAAATTGAAAATCTAATACCTGTGTAAGTGTTCAACAATCTAATTGTTGTCTTATTGTTTCAGATTTCACAATATGTTTAAATATGGTATTACTGTAGAAATGAAATGCTAGGTTTTGAACTTAAGTTTAGTCTTAGAGTTTTGAAAAGAGTATGTAAACACGTGCAAATTAGCCTGTTGGTAAATAGCGTTTTTGCTGTGTTTGTGTCTAAGTGAGAAAAATAATTGATGTAATTTGAAATATGTAATCATTCAATGCATTTCGTGTCAAAGTAGTGATAAATGATACACAGTTTAGCCCACATAGACTGCTGTTGTGATCACTGTGTGAAGAGTTTTGAAGCATTGATACTCTTCATATGCAGCAGCACCCACAAACTTATCTTTGTATGGTACATGCATTTATGCACAAAACCAAAAGAGTGATTCACACATTTTGATGCAACATGATAAAAAGCCTTCCTGTTTGCGCTATTGTTGCATAAGTCAATCATGGCTTTTGTCCCAGACTGCAGTGAAAGCCTAGCATGATAGAAGACGGTGCTGCCAATGTTCGGCTGCTCCCACAGTAGCCATGAGCACACCAAATGAAGAAAGACCAATTAGGATATGTGAATCATGAAAAGGTACTAACAGAGGGCTGTTTTTTCCTTGAAGTGTCTCTCAGTCTAATTAAGGAGAGCTCACAGTCACCCTTGTTTGTTTGAAATGCTTTGCCAACTGTGTCAGGTGAAGGTTTCTTTGGATTTACTCACAGAGTTACATAACAAAAGTTCTGTCTTCCTGTATAGACCTGCAGCAGTATGATGTTGCCTTGCAGTTCTCAATAAAACTATGCAAGAGTAAGAGAACATTCCCAAAGATAGCCAATTAAAGCATCCAAACAGAAGGATCCTCACCCAGCTGTGAGGAATATGCATCTTGTAATTGTGCTGTAGTGCTGCCCCCTACTGGCACTCCGGAGAGTTACAGCCATAGACAACTATTGACATGGAGGGGGAGGGACGTTCTTTTACATATTATGGTCCCATTTTTCCTTTTCTAGCCTGATATGGTTTGTGTTGTTTATTCATCAGGGCAGGGGTCCTTTGTGCATATGCAGCCAATCAGAACCTGAGTTCTCAGCTGAAGAGTGTGAGGAAGCTGGTGAAGAGTAACCTAAGAGACCTGCACACCTTCGCCAATCAGACCCCTGCAGTGAGTAATACAACCATAAACAACATACACTATTATACTGGGATGGATGGACGGATGGATGACAGTCAGATTGATTGATCAATAAATTGATGATGGATCTAGTTGCTTGAAACAATGGTCAACTGAACAGTTCAGAGATTATATGAGCATTTTAGACTGCATAATGCTGCCATTGACCGAAAGCATTCTTTTAGTAGATGTTTTAGTATTGGTGAGTGAGGACTTGACAGCTAAATATATTGATGTGTTAATGTCTTCCACAGCAAATTGATTACCTGATCTCTCAGTATGGCACCGTGAAGCAACATGTGCTGTATGACCTGGAGAGTAAGTATGCTACAGGTCCTCTTTAGAGGAATAGGTGTTGCTGATCTGAGGACTGATGTTGTGGTGTGTTTTCAGATGTAGGTCTTCTCTTGGGTGGAAGGATACAAGAGGAGTTGGGGAAAGACGTGCAGCCCACCCTCAACTCTGCTCTCAGCATGACTGGAAGTATGTCACTCACTTTAGTTTTTTCTTTTTTTTCTCCTCTTTTTACCTTTTCTATGAAAACTGTATATATATTATAATATATCATATATCAAATAAGAATATAATGTTGATATACAATACGTTGGTTTTGGTAGTGTCTTATTTCACTGTTTTGTCTTTGATTTGTTAGTCAAAGTGGAGAAAGCCATTAAAGGTAAAGTGGTAATACACCCTGACTGGTCCTTCCCGTGACCTTCTATATGTAACAAAGTTGTGATTAACTCCTTTTTCTTTCCCAACAAAACCTGGCCTGGTTATTTTCCCATGTGTATTGTTGTATCCTTCCTTGTTGGAACCTGCCCATCCCATGTCTTAAAACCAAGATATCTGAACGGTTATGAAATACATTGAAAGATGCAAAGCCAACAATGTCATCTCACCTCAATGGATAATATTTATTATAGCATTATTAAAGGAGACATATCGTAAAAATTTGACTTTTTTTAAAGTCAACGTTTAAGTGCAATAATCGGGTCCCGGGTGCTTCTACCAACCCAGAAAGCTTGAAAAGTGACAACCCAATAACTTTGTTTTTGTAAGCCTTTCTCTGCAAGCATGTCAAAAAGTAAGCCGATCATATTTAGCTCCCCTTCTGACGTGAGGGGATCGTATTATAATATTTCCACCAGTTAAACTGCACGTTTCCAACCACAGAGCGGAGCAGTGTAATCACTTCAAACGCAATGGCGAAAGTTCGAGCAAAGCATGCAAACTCTCCCGTTGTTGCTGCACAGACGAGCACATAACACTATATGACCAAAAAATGTCACAGCTGCCTTATAAAGACCTCAGGGAACTGTCAACTTGTGTAAAAGTTAAACATGACAGTACATGCAAGTCGATGAGATTCATCAATGTAACTCATTTACATACACATTTATTCATTCAGCAGATGCTTTTATCCAAAGCGAATTACAAATGAGAACAATAGAAGCAGTTAAACTAACAGTAGGACAACAAAGTGCTATGACCCCTCAGTTAAATTTAACTAAAATTTTTAAGTTTTTTAAAGTTATGCAGATCATTCCACCAACAGGGAACAGTCATGGCTGCACGTTTTTGCTTACACCCAAAAAGAGGCAAATTTGGCAAGTGATAAATTATCTGTGGGGTATTTTAATTTTTGAGCTGAAAATTCACAGACACATTCTAGGGCCACCATAGATTTATATTACATCTTGTGAAAAGGGGCATAATGTCACCTTTAAATCAAAGAATCGTGTGGGATTGTGTCCAAAATCTTCAGAGTTGTTTGTGCCTTGGTTACTGTGCAGTCTCTATTTTGAATGTTCATTTGTGTTTCTTTGCTCATTCCCTCTCTTAGCAATGCGAGACACCAAGGATGCTCTAGAGAACGTGAGTTTGACCTTGGAGACTTTGCAGGAAGGAACAGTCAAACTGCAGGCTAACCTAAGCCTGGTGCGCGGAAGCCTTAGCAACGTCCTGAACGATCCTCTCTGCAAAGATGTGCGCTCGTCAGAGATTTGTCGCAACATACTTGTCACCCTTCCCAGGCTAGAAATTGCAGCCAACTACTCATCGGTATGAAAATGATTTGTCATCTTTTTTTCCCAACGTACTGTTACCACAATGGTTGACAAGTTTTTTTAAAAGTAGAAAATAAGCAGAAAACCAAAACGCATGGCTGTTTTTTTGTTGATTTTAGTTGCCTGATGTGACCGAACAGTTAGACAAAGTGAATGAAGTTATGAAGACGGATCTCAGCCAGATTGTGGAAAAGGTACTTTTTCCAGTTTTCACATGAGCTGTTTGCATAAATTCAAGACAGAAAGTATAATATTTTCAGAGTACAATAGGATATTCAACAAGAGACAAAAATTTAATTTTGTCCAAAAGTTTGGGGTCAGTATTTTTTTTTTTTTAAAGCTGCAGTCCATAGCTTTTTTGGGTTAAAAAATATCCCAAATACATATTTGATCAAGTACATAACCAGCCAGTGTTCAAAACTATCTGCTTGCCGTAGCTCGATTCAAAGTAGTAAGCGTGTAGTAATGTTTTAAATTCCAGTGGTACTGGTGGAGTTTCGAGCATATCTTTGCGTCATTACGTCACATCTATAACGTTACACATAAAGAAGAGCCTCAGCTAGTAGGCGATATTGTGTGTGAGGATGTTGGCCTTTTCTCACAGCATTTGATATAATTAAACGTATCGATTTGATAGCGGATCCAGAAAGGTTAAAACGAAAACTATCACCAGTGATAACTGGAGTAAAGTTGATAAATCCGCGAATGACAAAATCTGCAATTGCAGATTTTGAACAGAGATGGCGACAAAGACTGCAGCTTTGAGAAATTGAAGCTTTTATTCAACAGGGACACATTCAGTTGATCAAAAACAATTTTTCATAAAAAAAATTCCTGAGCACCAAATCAGCATATTAGAATGATTTCTGAAGGATCATGTGACACTGAAGACTGAAGAGTTATGATCCTGAAAATTAAACTTTGCATCACAGGAATAAATTACATTATTAACAAATAAATGAAGAAACGTCTTTCAAAAAATTGAACAAAACAATCTTACCAACCCCAAGCTTTTGAACAGTATTATATGTACTTTCAGTATTTTTTTGGTACAAAATTACAAATACATTTTTTAATTGTTTACAGCAAGACCAGGAAGGTATATAGAAATAAATAATGTCAGTTTTGAATGATCTGCTTTGCGTTTCATCTGTGCTACACAGGGATTTACATCATTCAATGACACTCCCACCATGGTAACAGATCAAACCCGAAATATTGTTGAAGGTGAGTTCAGAGATCAAATGCAGATTAGAATTCAGATCTCCCCAAAGATTGATACAAAATCTCCTTTCAGTAATTTGAAAAAGTATTTTACGACTTTTAATCAATTTAAACACTTTACAATAGCTAACATGAACTAACAAAGAAGGATACTTTTATGTCATTTAGGTACCACCATCTAAGTTAATGTTCATTTCTATATGTACTGTATTAATATATTTTTAACATTTGAAGTTAACTACACTACTGTACAAAACGATGATGCTGAAAAATTCAGCTTTTACATCAGAGGAATAAATTACATGAAATATATATATATATATATATATATATATATATATATATTATATATATTAAATGATATATATCATTTAAACATTGCCATAGTGAAAATTGAATCATTTCATTGATTTAATTAACACATGACTTGAATTACAAATAAAATGTACCTAGATAATATTTAGCATGTTCATTCTTTGTTACGCCTGAGGATGATCTTCTTAGGGAGTTTTATTCCTTGCTACAGTCACCTTTGGCTTGCTCACCCAGACACAGACAATAAAACAAAATTCTCTGAAAATACCATGGATTATGAGAAGCACTTGACAAATACTAAACATACGGTTGTGTCTGTTCTCCTGTAGGGGTGAAGGTTCTGCTGGACGACATTGGATCTAACATCACCACTTTCACCAAGCTCTTCCCGATTCACAGTTCTCTGACCAACTTCACCAAAATGATTACGCACACACACTCACAGATCGAGGACATATACCCACAGATCGATCAGATGGATTTCTACAGGTACTTCACAAGCTCTCATCATCATCACATTGATTTATATAACGTTTTTTACAATAGCTTTACGAGCAGCTTTACAGACATAACAGGAAACAAAGTTTGTTTCCAGAAGAAAAAAGCGTCACAGTACAGCTTAAGTGAGTTTAGTGATGTTTCATTTGTGTTGTAAAAAAGATAATAATTTAGTTAATTTATAATATATATATAGCTGCTCTGGAGAAAACTGTGATATCATCCAGCTCAGTTTAGTTCTCATATAATGGTGTCAATGCAGATCAATAATATTGTTCAAATTAAATTACTCTCTCTCTCTCTCTTTGTTTTCGAGGTAAAAAGTCTTCCATGTGACCATGACATTGTTCATAATGTTTTTTCTTCAGGTGGATCTGTTGTATTACCCTGTGCTGTATGGTTGTGCTTATCCTTGCCTTCAATTTTCTGGGATTGTTGTGTGGTATTCTGGGATTTGACAGGCACGCTTCTCCAACCACACGTGGATGTGTCTCTAACACGGGAGGAAACCTGCTCATGGCGTGAGTTTGAGTCTCGAAACCCATCAAATGGATGTGGTATAAAACAGACTTGTCTGCACTCACTCATTCACACACACTTCCTGTGTTTCTCAGTGGTGTGGGATTCAGCTTCCTGTTCTCTTGGGCGCTCATGGGAGTGATAACAGCTCTGTTCTTAGCAGGGGGGAATCTAGAGAAGCTTGTGTGTGAACCCTTCCAAACCCGACAGCTGTTCAAGGTAAGAGAAATGACAACGCATCTCGCTGTACGGTTCATTTATAATAAAGGTCTGAGACCACAGTAAAAAAAATCTGAGGTTTTTCATTTAAAACCAGGAAATAAAAAGCATTTTTTGGATTGTGGGTGTTTTAGAATTTTAAAACATTTAAGTTATGATTAAGGATTACTCGAGATTCTGCATTTTTCTAGGTCACTCATCGAATAAATGACTGACTGTCAGATGTTTTTTACATTCTGAAATTCATGTTCATCTTTTCAGTTCATCATTCCCCTAAGATTAAAATAAAAAAATAGTAAATATTATATTATATAGTATTACATTATAACACTTTGCAATATGGAAGCATTAGCATTACTCAATACTTGGTTAATATTTTTTTTACATTATTAGTTTATTTTAGTTTAAATTGTTCATGTTAGTTCACAGTGCATTAACTAATGCTGGCAAATATAACTTTGGATTTTAATAATTTGTTAGTAAATGCTAAAATTAACTAAGATAATAACTGCAGTAGAAGTATTGTTTAATTGTTTGTTCATGTTAACTAATGTAGTTGACTAATGTTAATGAATGAAACCTTATTGTAAAGGTCACCGATCATTTTATTTTATATTATATTATTTATGTTCTGTTTACTTTTCTGTTATTTTTTTCATGTTGATAATATAATTTGTGATTAATTTAGTTTAAATTTGTTTTAAATGAGTAAAATACAAAACTAAAAGGACATAAATACAAGAAAAAAAATCTGTAAAATACAAAACTATAACGAAATACAAGAAAAAAATCTGTCTCATTTAGTGTGGTCATGTTGTTTGTAGGTGTTGGATACACCCAACCTTGTCAACTCTGGTTGGAGAAACTTCATACCAGGATACCTGTACAATGACCCTGAGATTGACCTTACTGCATATTCTCTTTACAGGTAATATTTTCATCAAACTGAAGAGTAATCATACTCTAATAACAACATTTTAAAAGTGCTGTTAAAGGGATTGTTCACTTTGAGATTATATGACTAACAGACAAGAACGGTTTGACCTAAAAATAACAAAATTGAAAATACTGTGGAAACAAAGACACTACATCTTGGATGCCCTTGAGGTAAGCTAAAACATATCAAAAATTAATTTCAAAGTGAACTATCCCTTTAATGCTGTAAAGATTTTTATTTCAAAATATTCAAATTTTGAACTCAATATAACAGACCAAATCTATATAACAGTCTTGATGAAATGTATGAATTTTAGTGCACTAAAAACTAAATATTAAATCAAACTGCATATGCAAACAAATGATGCTTGACATTTTTTCAGAACCAACTTTTCTGAGCCATCTTACAATATTAGAAATGTCTTTGTTGGTAGTCCAGCAGATGGCAGCAGAGTATGGTTTGAATGCTTTCCCTTTTTCTCTCCTTTCTTAGTAACTGTAAGGACAACAGAGGGATTTACTCGGCTCTTCATATGGATAAGATCTTCAACATCTCAGCCTTCTTTAACACCAGTATGGTGAGTGGATCAAAGGCTGATCTCACAAGAACACGCAAATCACAACTAAATGTAGCTTTCAATGTCCAAGAGGGTATATTGAAATGTTTAATGAGTGAGATGCAAACTTCCTAATCCATTTTTGAGTGCTTGGTGTGAACTGATAACTATCTAACAAATTTGGTTATTGGGACTAATTTAAGTTGGCTATGAGTTCTTGCATTAAAATACACAGATTTACATGAAAGCAGAAATTAGATTGTCATTTTTGAGTCAATCTTATTTTTTATCTGAAGCAGATGATACTTGTTTTTCTTCTCCTGCAGATTTTTGCCAACTTTAGATATATTCCTTGTGAAATACAGTTTTATAAGAGCTCTGATGTGGTGTGGTTAGGCAGTTTTTCCAGACCAGTGTTAGTTGTTTTTCTCTCTGTTCTCTGCAATTGGCAGAATATCACAAAACACTTCATTTGAAACTTTTATATACAGCGTCTATAAATCCCTTCATTTCAGAATGATTTTTGTTTTCAGTTAAAATCCTGAAAGCCAACATTCTTTATCCAGTGTCACATGGGATTCAGAAATCTGAGACCACATCGAATGGAACATTTTAGGATTTTATAAAATCTTGTGAACTGCATTATATAGACATACAGATGTTTTGCATCTATTGAAGCACAATACGTTCTTTGGATTGTCTCAAATAAATAATGTATTATATTAATAATAATAATGTATTAGGTCATAATAACGTATTATATATTTATTTTATATATATAATCTGAGCCACTAGTAAAAATAAAAAACAATATTATTCACTACAATGTGCCATTAGTTAACATTGGCTAATGCATTAGCTAACACATTCAGTTAACAAAAATACAATTGTTCATTGTTATTTCATGTTAACTCTGATCCATTACATAATATTAACGGATACAACCTTTGATTTTTATAATGTATTTGGAAATGCTGAAATTAACGTCAACGTATATTAATAAATGCTTTAGAAGAATTATTCATTGTTAGTTCACTTGTATTAACTAATGCAGTTAATACTTAATGTTAACAAATGGAACATGGTCGCAAAGTGTTACTATTTTTTTTTTTACTTGTGGTTTTGACTTCTTGGGTCTAGAATATTTCCTTATGACAACCCATACCAATTTCTTAGACTCCTGTCAGAATCAGATACAGAGCCTCTTTTCTTTCTGCAGTACTCCAAGGATGTGTCAAAGAAGTTTGAAGGGATAAAGGTGGACCTGCGTGGCATCATTCTTCTGGAGTCAGAAGGCAAACAGAATCTAGTCAGCTTTACTGAAACTGGCATTAATGATATTGACTTTGCTGCCTATTTGGAGGAGGTACATAACATACATAAAAGCACATACACATTTTGATTGAAACGTTTGCTCCACGGGCTTTGGTGCATGTACAGTTCAAGATTAGAGAGAAACTGCGTCCTGTAGCTTCTCATGTGTTTCTGTTTATCTTCCAGGTTAATAAAGGAGTGACTCGCGTTAATCTAGTTGATTTTGCCAGTCAACTTGATGCTCAAGCTGATCAGTTGGTAAGACATTTATTTTTGGTTCAATTAAAAAAATCCCAATAATTTTAGCTATTACATGAAATTCACTCTCATGGTTACTAGTTTGTACCAATGTGAATAACTTATATATTCTGTTCTAATAATAACTGTTTCTTTCTTTTGCAGTCTAAAGGGACCTTGCAGACTTCATTAAAGGGACACGCTAATACTATAAGGCAGATCCACATCCAGCAAGTCATCCCGCTGGAGCAGTCCATGGTAATCTATTCCTTTCTCATAGATTCTCTTTTGATTCTTTGCCTCCTTATTCATGAAGGGTTCTGCTAAAAACAGTTATATTCGGTTGGATTGGTTGCAAATGGAAAGCATTTTAATAATGTTTATATTGCTGTTCACACCTGTTTTCAATTATCTTTTTTTAATTTTCCACACATTCAACTTGATTTATGGCTTCGAAGAAATATGTGAAAGCAAGGGTAAGCCTGTATCTACCAGTAATGGCTACATAACCTACAAGTTGTTTGCTCGTTTTGGTTTCTACTTATTTTTTTCTGATGCCATCATGAAAAAACAAGCATCATTTTAGAATAACGTCATCCTGTCTTTGTCCTATTGATCCTTTTCTTATTATTTTTAGTTTTTTTCAAAATATATACAGATTTATAAACTGGTCAAAAGAGTGAAGTGTGGAAATTCTGTCCCTCTAGTGGCATCAAACAGGATTGAAGAAAATAGAGATGTTTTCTAATCCTTCCTGATGTTTGCAGACCATTGATTAAAGCTTTGCTGATTTGCTTAAAAAAAAGAGAAAAAAAAAAGAACAGTGTCACCGTTTTTACACATTCTGAGAAATCAACGTAGAAATTAATGGAATGAGAAAAAGCTTTTAACGTTGAAATATTCACTCTTCACCTTTAAAAATGTAAGCACCATTTCATATTTTGCCAATGCTGATATGATGAGAGTTGATTAACTAGGGTTGCCACTACCTTTTCAAAATGCATTTTCAGGACTAGGACTTTTATTTTCTCATCCATACTAGATGTGAAATATGAATCTCCCCCTTTATCACAAATCTATAATTTAGTCCAACTATTTTGTGTCACTTCTCTCATGACATGATGTGCATGAAATGCATGTAATGCAACTGTCAGATTGCATGACTCTCTGTCACCCTTCTGGTTCCCTTGAGCTGTCAGTTTGTTTCCAAGATGGTCATTTACAGTACTTTTTGCACCATTATAGATGAGATAATTTGAACATGATGATTCATACTTTCTATACCTCCATATCTTCCTTATTAAAGAGCACGCTGAATCAGAGCATCAGACTTCTGGAGAGGACGTCCTCGGACCTGCCTGTAAGTTACTCATTTTAAAACTGCCACCTGTTCAAAAATATCATCACGGACGCATTTCAAAACATGCTTTCTGATTAGCAGTAAATGTGTTGCTTTTTAGCTCAGAGTTAGGGATGTACTAGAAGCCGTCAATACCGCCCAGTTCCTTATCTCCCACAATGCAACATTTTTGATCAACCAGGTAATTCAAGCGTAACAAATAAAACCATGTAAGAATGATTGGTGCATTGGTTGAATTGTACTGATGGTTAATATATGCTTAAACAGGAAACCGAGAAATACAAGCAGACCATCATTGGCTATTTCAAGCAGTATATGGACTGGATCAGAACGTCTGTGAGTATTTTTAACTATGCACCTGTAGTAGTATCAATGTTAGATTGCTGGCGATCGATCAGTTATAGTGCATTATTGTTGGGTTGAAACCCGTTTGTTTTGTTGCCTCATTGTAGCTGGCCTTGGAGGTCGCTGCCTGTAAACCGCTCAGCAACATTGTGGACACTGCCGAGATCCTGGGCTGCAGTTTCCTGCTGGATTCAATGGTGAGAGAATCGTTGCTACTATAATGCAAATCATTGAAATAAATAGTTAAAATCATTTTCTTTATACCAAGCCCCAATTTTCTAACATCCATGAATACAGAAGTGTTTTCCATACAATTAAAGTGGATGGTGATTTATACAACCAAAAACTACTTTCACTATAGGTGTGTCCCAAATCACATACTGTTCCACTATTCTATGCCGTTTTATAGTATAAATAGTGCGAATAGTGCAACACTGAAAATTCTAAAAAGAAAAGATGCACTTTAAGTACCCGGATGATGCCTTTATTTAACCAAAAAATCTATGCGACCTGTATCTGATTTTTTCATGACAGTCTGAACGACACAGATCCGATCTTTTCAAATGCGACCCAGGCCACTTGGGTATGTGGTCTAAATCCGATATGTATCCGATCATTTGAAATGCGACTTCAATCTGAACGGCCAGGTCACATATATCCGACCCGCACGTCATTGCACCTGTAGCCAGCCAACACACGCTAACTCCAACGCGTTTCTGCACTGTTATGGGCCACTGCAGACGTGTCTCTTCCCCAGTGTTGTGCCTGAACGCGTTCAATGAACGATAGTGCATGAACGCGTTCATATTTTCGCGTATCATATTATTCACGTTTGCCCGAAATAAACATACTGTATTACTGCCTGATGAACATTACTGTGAACACGTTCATTCTGGTGTATGTGAACGTGCGCTCTCTGTCAGTATAACTTTGTACAGTAGGGTGCCAGATATAGAGCCTTCCAAGCGAAAACCTGGCTAAAACACATGTGAACATGCCTTAAAATGTAGCGAATAACCACCCAATCTGGCAACACCGCGGCCGCCGGTGACAAAGCAAGGAGCGCCGCGGACACGCACTATCAATTAAACGGGTTTTATGACGAGGTCGGTGAGGATCGGAAAAATCTTACATTTATGTGCAAACTGCCCGTCGATAAAATAATTATTGTCTGTGTGTTTGTATATGGGCTGTGGCAATAATAATAATAAAACAAAAGCTCGCAACATATGAAAAAAAAGAACTATTCTGCAAACAAGAAGTGACGTCTTGGACCGTTGATTGCTCTTCTGCGCATGCGGGTCACTTCTGGGTCATTTCACGTTCACACAGGAGATCACAAAAGGTCGCATTTAATTGGAAATGTGAACGGCCTTGCAAAAAAATCGCATTTTTTCAAAAAATCGGAATGGGCTATATGCACGCATAAGTTCCGCATTTGACGTAAGGATGCTCGTCCATTTCCGGTTGTGTAGATTAAAGCGGAGGAAAACCGGAGAAAACGGGATTATGGCAGAGTCTTCAATATTTACTGTCCTCCCGTCTTTGAAACGAAACGTACATACGTTTAGATGTAATTTTATATATAGTTATGTTTATTTAATATAATTTTAAAAAGAAGCATAAACACAACGAGGGGTGTCTGTTTTATCTGTTTTTGTGACTAACGTTTCATTAGTATAACCATGGAGTATAAAATTCAATATAAATTCTCGGTATTGCATTGGACTCTATGATCGGCGGAAGTTATCGAGCATCCCTAATGCTTCACCGGAAATAACGCCGTGCATAGAGCCCATTGAGCATAAGTGTGGAATGAGGCATCCACACCTCAAGGGCATCCAAGTATTTTCAATTTTGATATTTTTAGGTCAAACCGTCCTTGTCTGTCAGTCATATAATGGAGGTCTATGGTCACCACCTCAAAGGGCATGCACAGAGAAGTCCAAATTAATCATGATTAAATGACTCATAAATGTAAGTACACATTGATGGCCTAAGACACGAAACGAGCGGTTTGTGTGAGAAAACGAACAGTATTTATTTTGTTTTTACCTCTTGTAATCACAGCCACGTCCAAGTGATCTGAAGGCATGGCCCCTTAGGTCTGCGCAAGCGCCAGAAAGCCCCGGAAGTGATCTCTCGCGCGTGTACGTCACTCATTGTTTACAGAAGTGCTATCCTTCACTGTGAAGATCTAAACATATTTAGATATAAAAGAAAATTTCAATGGAAGACGATTTCGATATATCAACAGACAACGTTGATTTTTTTTTCTTGCGCAGACCGAAGTGCCTGTGCCTTCAGATTACTTGGACATGGCTGTGGTTACAAGAGGTAAAAACGATATAAATACTGTTCGTTTTCTCACACAAACTGAGTCATTAAATCATGTTTAATTTGGACTTCTCTTTAAGGTTTAATCAGGTTTAATTTGGACAGACAATAACGGTTTGACCTAAAAATATCAAAATTGAAATTACTGTGGAAACAAAGACACCTACATCTTGGATGTCCATCTTATTCAAAGTGAATAAAGGTTTTGTCCGATTTTGCTCACTTCTGGGTACAAATTTCAAAAACAAATTACGTTTGTACTTTTATACTTATGGGCCAGTGGGTTGTTTTATCTGGTTTCTCTTTTATTTTTACTCTTGTTGGTAGTCATTGCATCCTTTTTTTCTACTTCTTTGTATAAAGTTCAACTTTTATCAACATCTTGCATGGCTGGACCAGATCACCCACTTTGATGGAATGTGAATAACCCTTTATGTAGAAAGCTTCCCATGCTGGAATACTACTTTCTGTGTTTTGGAAAAAATACTTTTCATAAGCAATCATGCAGAGTATGTTGATCAAACATGTCATTTATGGTTAAGTGGAGTGCAGTTTTTGGGTTGCTTTAAGTAATCTTGTGCTTATTTGTTGCAGAACACGTTCTGGTTTGGACTGGGCTGTTCCTCATTGTTTCTGCTCCCTAGCATTATCCTGTCCATCAAGCTCGCCAAGTTCTACCGCAGAATGGACACAGAGGATGTCTATGACGAGTAAGTATCCCAAATATGGCAAGTTTGTGGTTGCTGTTCATCACCCCACTGATTACATTTCTTTAAACAAAGTTTTATCATTTGCATATTGTTTTTCTCTGCTAACGGAAACCCAAAGCGCAGTTGTTCAGTCAGATGAGAGGACCAGCACTAAATGTTGTATAATTAATAATATGCATTAATATGTGAAAGTGCAAATGCCTCATTCTTTTCTTTTCGTTGCCTCAGAGTAGTTAGTAATTTCTCTCTCTCTCTCTCTGTTCTTTTTCTGTTTCTTTTCTCTGTTCTTTCTAGTTCCTCTGTCTCGGGGACTTGGCATTTCACGTTATGATAACCATTCTTGCTATTTCCATCTTAATTCATTCTTCGTCTTTCTGTCCAGCACTTTGCACTTTATGAGAACTACCTGTATATATGGTTCAAAATGTGTTTGTTTTAACATTTTTTCGAGCATTCATACGTTTACAGTCAAAGATCATTGCGATTGACAAGTCACCAAGTGTCTTGACCAAAGACGTCCATTTTGACATCCATGTGTACGCCACTACAGTGCATCTCTATAACATTTTTGCTTGTCTTGTATCTTTTTAGCATTGAGACAATTCCCATGAAAACGTAAGCTGTTTTTCCCCCTTTTATTTTCTCTCGACTTTCCCGCTAAAACGACTTCCCTTTCCTGTTTTGTACATAAAACTTTCTGCTTAATGGTGCTGGTTTAAGCTCTAAGCCTTGGAATGCTTCTTCGGGGAAGGGCGCTGTTTGTGTTGGTGTGTTATCTTTGAGAAGCTCCCTTGTTTAACATGAAGGGCTGTTAAAACAGAAACCTTAAGAGCACACTTGAAACGAATTGCTGTACATTTTACAAGATACGATTGCAATTTATATCGAATCATATTCTACTGCACAACCTTGCGTGTACATTTTTCAAGACCGTTTTAAAACGAAGCTTGTTTATGGTCAGTCGCATGCCTTTTCTCTCATGTCACATCATGGTTTTTTTCATCTATGTAATGTTTTTTTCAGTATGGAAATTGGTAATAATGGTTATTATAATGAACATTTTAGAAGGTATCCAAAACCCTGTAATGGCAAGGTAATCAGAACCATATCCACGCTTAATAAAATTGCATGCATTGGAGGTACAAATCGATTGAGGTTATATTAGTGAGATGTCAGAGGTCTGATGCATGCGTGATTTAAAGGTGCCCTTTGCACAAACATGCACTTAGGAATTGGATATTTCATTTTTCTCATTTTTACGGTTGTGTTTGCATGCTGGCTAACTCAATAGTAGTCATTTAGAATTTGTGTTTTGCATTTAATATTTGAATTTATAATAATGCATGCATGCATGATATTGCTGAATTTATTGATTGGCTAAATTTGAGTCTCTCACTAGGCTGCTATGGCTGTGCATGGTCTTTTTCTCTAACTCATCACTAATGGCATGTGTTTCAGCAACAAAACATGTAAGAAAGGTCAGGACGGTGGGCTAGAATGACACAGAGCATTAACGCATTCATACATACCATTCAAACTTTTGAGATCTGGGAGATTTTTTAAATGTTTTTGAAAGATGTCTCTTGTGCTCAACAAGGCTGCATGTGTTTGATTAAAACAAGAACTAAAATTAAATAATAAATCAATTTAAAATAACTATTTTCTCTTAAAATATATTTTAAAATGTTATTTCAGTGTCACATAATCATTCAGAAATCATTCTAATATGCTGATTTGCTGTTCAAGAAACATTTTTTGCGTGACATTCCAATCAAAAATCACTTAAAGCACCTTTAACTATTAGTACTACTGCTATACGTGTCATTTCGAAAGCCTCGTCCTGCACTTGGGTTAAAATGGATGGAGAGATGATGGGGCTGTGTGTGGATGTTAATACACTCTGACCCTGACGGTTTTTCCTTTTGTGCTTTAAGCATCCCTACCTATGACACTATGACTCGATTCCCACGGGCCTCTGCGCCCCCGCGCCATGCCGACTGGTGACTCTGAGGAGGACGCTCTGTTTTTTAACAACAGAAAGGTACTGGGAGCTGCAGATAAGAGCAAGTGGACTTGCTCTTCCTCTCTAACAAGCATGTGCATCTTCCTCCCGTTCAACTAATTACATTTTAGTATGCATTTGTTTCCTAACCTTTCACTCTTGATTATGTATCATCTTGTGTGGTTTGTCATTACACCAACAGCATGTTTCGTTTTTGCATTCTCTTTCCATCTTCAGAAGCATTCGGCCTGGATAACTGCTGACAGTTCTGCCAAGCTTTGTGTGAATTGTGTTTCTTAGGGTCCATCACTAACCACTTGCCCGTATCATTGTGATCCGCCAATGTTTGACTTCAAACATTCCTGGCGGCTCTGCAAACAGATAGATGCCAGCGCTCACTGTGTGTTTTGTTTCTTTACTTTGGTCTAAAATCTCATCTCCCCTCTCACGTCTCATGTCCACCAGTTCATCCGTATCACTCTTTGCCGTTTATTGTTCATTTGAAACTACGCAGCAGGTGTAATCTTGCAATATTTGTTTCTTTATTTTGTTCTCACAGTGCTATTGGAAACTGGAATTGAACCTTTGTGGACTGTAAGTTGTTTAAATTGGCCTTGTTTTACATTAAACCAGTGCTTCTCAACCTTTTTGACTCCAAGGCCACCCACTGTCCACAACAATATTTAAAGGCCCACTTGTTTTTCCAGTTGTATTTACTGGATAAAGTTTGTGATTTACTGGACATTTTCGACCTGATTAAATATTTTATGAAAAAAAAAATAGAAAAATGTATATTCTATAAAAACGCGCTCATAATTATACCATTTTTTTTTTTTTTGTTTTTTTTTTTTTTGTTACATGACCAGGTCTGAACATTTAGCTAATGTTCTGACAAGGTTATCTCAAATGTTCTTCTCAAACATTCCTCCTGTAACATTTATAGAACATTTGCTCAAATTGATCAGGTCTATGCTTCATAATAATATTCTCAAAACGTTAGCACAAAAACTTTCTTTATACATCATACATGGAGCGTTTTATTCTGAAAAGTTTTAGTTTCGTCGAACATGTTATTACTTCTTTGTTTCAGAATGTTTAAAGAACATTCAAAAGTAACATTCCGGTAATGTCTGAAGAATGATAAAATTGAATGTTTCTTTAACATTCACATAACCAAAAAATTAAAAACCTGTATGTTTTGAACCTTCAGAGAACATTCGTTTGCATAACTTAAAGTAAACCAAACGTTCTTGGAACATGTGTTTGTTAGCTGGGAGGAAAAAAAGGAAAAGAAAAAAAAAACAGTTGTTGAGGGGAATTAAAATAAGATCTTGATTTTTGGTTGGTTATTTAAATGCTTGTTTAGTCTAATTTTAAATCATCTCGAGGCCCCCTATAGTCAGTAGTGAACCGCAAGTCCGTGTTCCCCTCTGTAGAGATCCGGTGTGGTTCCGGTCCCCTGGTTGAGAACCACTGCACTAAACAGAATAAAAAAGCTTGTATAAAATCTACCAAAAATACTGCATGCATTGAACAAGACTAATGATTTTCTCTCGCTGTGAATTTCTTCTTTACCACAGACTCTCTCTGTGAACAGCAGGATCAGCTCAGACGGACGACATTAAAAAAAGGAAACTCATATACTTGAAGCTGGGACCTGCTGTCCATGTGCCCATGACATCGATCAAGATGAATTTTTATTTGTTGTTGTTTTGGCTATTTTGCACCCCTATGATTCAAGTCTTATGGACTGTCCCCTTAATGAGCTGTTCTCCGATGTCACATCATGTCAGTCAGAGAGGCTTCAAAGTATACGGCTGTTTTAACTACTACATGTGTCTTTGTTTACAGTCATAAATCACATGTGATGGGCATAACAATGCTGCGTTTCTTTTTTCTTTGTATAGTGCTTTTTAACATTGTGGAGTCGAGACCACTGAGAGTCCGAAGGGATTTTTTGTTGAAACAGAGCAAGCCAGCCACCCATGAGCCTCAAATATTAAACATAAACAATGTGTTTAGGTGTTTAAAAAACATGCTAAGTGCTAACTAGTGCTAATAGATAGATGTTGTCAAGCAATTTCAAGGGTGAATGCATTGTTGCCTTTTTCAGATTTTTAGCTCGTGGTACATGTAAGCCATGCCACAAGTCGCAAGGTCTTTGATTAGTTTTACCTAGACTATTGAGACTGAGAACGCAAACCCACATTTGATACTGATCTCTGGTTAGCCGTTTAAGATGTCTGTATGTGTTTATGCTCTCTTTTGTACTTGGAAATTTAAGATATGATCCATTTGGATTTAGTAACATCACAAAAAGAACTTGGTAGCTTTATGTACTTTCACAGTTATTAATGATATTTCGGTTGCTAATTTTGCTGACTGTACTAACAGTTGTTCTCCAACACATTGTTGGATTACTGTAAATTGCTTTTTGACACCAAATCTTGTTTCATTGTAGGTCTCAGGTCTTAGGGCTTTTTGTTTACTTGATATAACCATATTTGTGGACATATGCTGATTATGTGAACTTATTGTCAAGTCAGCTTTAAAGCGAGTGAATGTACCTCAGAGACATTTGCTGGTACGAGAGCAAGGGAAGACAACAGAGCCCCTTTACGACGACTTTTACAGAGCCTATAACGCTGTCATAGTCATTGACAATTACTCCACCAAATATTTCAGCTGTTTAATCTTAGAGACATGTCAGGTGCTACATATTGTTGCTCAGATCCTTCACACATTGTGTATATGACAGTGTTATCAGGGCCTCAGGTAAAATGTTGTACTTGATTTATACCCAGAAAGGTCCCTTCACCTCACAGTTTCACTGTTTTGCCATACCACTCGTAGCATGCGCATACTTGGTGTTCAAGCTTGCTCAAAGATGTTAGTTGTGGTGGGCCTGGTTGTCAGTGCCGTTGGTTTTCAAGTCCTTGTGGTTAGGCTGGCTAAAACTGTAAAATATTGTGAATAAAATTTCAGATGAAAATAACATTCTCTGGTGTTGTAAATTCCGAATTCAACCACTGTACATAGCATTCAAATCCAGTTACAATATAAGATTGGTGGCAAAATAAAGTCAGAGGTTTTAAAATGAAAACAAGGGAAATACTTCTTTTTGTAAACAGACTGTTTCTCAAGAGGTGAAGTTCTACCTTACAAAGACTAGAATGTTATAAAAACAGTGTTTGGATCTTTACTTTAAAGGGGCAATATGTGCCCACTGGAATTGGTTTTCATGATGCCTCTTTACTATTAACAAGGACTTTTTCTATAACATAAAAAGAAAAATCGTCAAATACTGCATCACTTAATTAAAATGTGTTTATAGTGTGCCTAACACCAACACTATATAGGCCTAGAATGGAATATTTTGAACTGTAACAAATGTTTTTTTGCCTTATATTTAAAATATCTGGGGCATTTTTTATTACTTTTGGTGAAAGAGTGTATTCTCACTTGAGTGAAAATACAGATACAACTGGTCAAATATTACTCCGCTTAAAGTTGTAAAGACCCATTTTTACTTAGGTAAAAGTATAAAAGTAGGCTACTATGTTTTTAAAAGTATTTAAGTATCAAAAGTAAATGTAAATTAATTTTTTTATTTTTTTATTAATGCTGTATGGAATAGCCTACTTAGTACCTTGCCTCTGAATCTATGTCTGCCTGCCTACCCTCATAATTTTGGCCTTTATGAAATTTATTTCTAGAACACACAGTTCCAGTAGTGTGACTGAATGTGTGACTGTGAGAATGTGTGACTGAGGCTATGTTTACACGGAAACGATTCTGAAGAGAAAACGCAAAAGTGGCGTTGCGTTATCACTTTTTATTCTGCGTTTAGACGAGCATTTTGTGGAAATCCGTGTGCATATGGTGACGCGCAACTGTGTGAAATGCAATGTAGTATGCACTCCAGGCGGCTAGGTGGCAATATGGAGCACTGCCACACAACAACACCAAGTCTGCGCGCCTGCTTACGACCCTCACTATCAAGCAGACTTTTGTGTTTTTACCTGGTTTTTACACTTTATACGGGAACGCGACAGTGGAGCGTTTTTAAGATTTCCACTCTGGAGGGTGGTTTCACTTTTTTGCGTTTTAAGCCAGAAAAACACTGTCACCGTGTAAGCAAAAGGCACATCAGATAAAATATTTTTACGTTTTCATCCGCGAGCGTTCTTGTGTAAACAGGGCCTCAATAATGTCCACAATGGTTTCGGACAACAATTGGCTGTACCCTCAAATATTGCCCTATTTAAAGTTTTTTTTTTTTTTGTCTTTTACTATGAATATGTTAGCCTTACTGTTCTCAAGCTAGTGTGCTCCAAAACAATGACAAAATTTGCATTTATAAGACCAAACTCAACCCAACGTCAGGTTGACGTTCTGACAACGAAAATGCAACCATCCAAAATCATCCCCAGACTGACGTTCCTACTTTCTACTAAAGGACCTTGACAGATTTGTAGTGGAGTAAAAAGTATGATATTTGTTTTACATTTGATAAAAGTATTACATTTGATATTATCTTTCAAATGTAGAGAAGTTTCAAGAAAAAAAAAGTAAATGTACTTTGTTACAGTCCACCTCTCACCTGATTTTGCTCTATCCAAGACGTTTTCTTTATTTATTATTATAACACGTCATCTGTGTCTGTCAGTTGTCCCCATTTGTTAGGTTAATAAATTTCACGCATTTTCTCCTAGATATGATTGATGGCTTGAAAAATAAAAATGCGATTAGTTAAATGTTTTGCTGTAATTCAGGTGTTTTCTCAACATTTTCTCCATGCTTCGTCTCTATAAGGGATCATATAATATAAATGTTCATATGTTGATCTATTCGTGTGCTTGACATGATTGTGATCCTTCATGCAGAACTGTCAAAATATTTTTTTTTTTAGCATTAAGGTTAATACTATATTTTTTTTTTTCATGGAAGCCCTGTAAAGTAAAAAATAAGAAATAATTGTCTTTACGCCAAGAATTGTGACTTAATATCTCACAATGTGACCTTAATTGTTAACTTTTTCACGCAATTACCTTTTTTTTACACTGAGGTGGAAAAGGCTTCAATAGTTTAGTGACCGAAGCAGACCACATTTTATCACATAAACCAACTTGACTGGCATACGGTCTTGCAATGAAGTCCACTAAACGGTTATTTTGTAAGTACTTGCATAACCCAAGAATAGGTTTTCTTGATTGAGAGCATGGACAGATTGTTTCCCAACATCATAAACAAAAACACAATCACTAAACGAATATAGCTGTGGTGTATTGAGAATTATGCAACAAATGCGGAGAAAGTTCCAGAATTGGGTGTGTAAATGGCTGCTCTCTTTGTCACTTACTTTATTGAGCATTTTTCTCAATTGGTTACATATGTGTGCCTGCTTTTCATTGACATTCACCAGATAGCCATGCCAACAATACACACCCCAGGCAAGAAGCCAACATGTGGGGCAAACAAAGCCTTTAAATAGTGGAGTCAGAAGTCTCTCCACCAATGCCAGCGACTCACAACATGTGGACAATCACAAGCACGCTCCTGCTGACATGCTGCCTCCAGGCGGCTCTCGCTCAAACACAGGGTCGCGACGATGATGAACCAAGAGGCAGGAGGAACATTTGGGAGGATACAATTGAGTTTCTTACCAAAGGCACCAAAGATGAATGCTTCTTGACCATGACTGGACATGGGGATCTGACAAAGCTCCGCATCTCTTGCCAGGGCCTGGAGCATTCATACTGGTGCGAGTACCAGGGCAAGCCTCAGGTCTGCCGATCGTACAACAAAAATCCACAGCATTACTTCAGGCAGATCATGTGGAACCTCCGCAAGCTGCCGAATGCTTGCCAGGGCCAAAGTGTATTAAAGCCTCAGATGTGCAAGAGAGCATCCGACGAGGCCCAGATGGTCTTCACAACTGCATCCTCAGCAGACGCCCAGCCAAAGGACAGGCCCTACAGACCAGCCCCTGTCAGAACCGAGCAGACGAGACCTCAACAAAGACGACGAGAGCCCAATGCTTCCAAATCCAACACTCAGAGGAAAGTTATTACACCTAAACCAACTGTGCCACAACCAACTACACAGGTACCCATGAGTGAGGCCAAGAAACTTGCTCAGGATTACTGCTGGCGCTCTTTTAATGGTGTGTGTTCCTGGGTCATTGGGTGGTTCAGAAATTAAGGACAAGGTGGGACTCTTTTTTTTTTAAATTACCAAACACAATATGAGTAAGTGTAAATCTGAAAACTGTATTTAAAAAAGTGTGTCCTCTCTGCAGTCACTCACATTTCTGCAGATAACAAACCCCATTCAAGATGACTCTGAAATGTCTAACGTGAAGGTTTCGGACTGACAGAGACACCATTCTCTAAAATATATTCTTATGTTTGCAAATGTTCAGACTTTAATGTACAATGTATCAGAATAGTCAGGATTACAAAACTAGCAATGAATTTGGGTGTTGAGCATAATGCTGCCAACTGTTGTTATACTGTTGTTGTTTTCCAATCCATAAACTATATGATGAGGAACTTCATCTTATCATGTGTACTGAATACTATATGTGTATTAATCCTTGCTATGTTATGTAGCCGACTGCTGACCAATTATGGGTCAGTATTTCTGAAAGTTGGAACCACAGGTCACTTCAGACTGTAATATATCAATATGAAAACTCACAATGAACATGTCTCTGTTTACTGCATTTTAATAGTGAGGTACTCAGGCTATATGTTTTTGTAATATACAAGTTTATAGGCTGTATGTTTTGTGTATGTTCTGATTAAATTTGGGCTCTTTACCTTAGCTTTTTGTGTGGCAGTTTTTGTTTTTTTGTTTTTTGTTTTTTGTTTTTTTACATGAGCGTGGCAGAAGATGGCGCTTTTGTGTTTGAAATATTTCATACCTGAGAAAGATCTTTCAAATAGGCTACACAGGGCTGGGATTTATTTCCCATTCAAAATGTTTTAATACATTTAATTTACATTTACAATTAATACATTTAATTTGTACAGAACAATTTAGGCGCCACAACAAAAATATTATTTTAATGTGTGTAAATTGTGTAATATGATGTGTATATAAAAGTAAGAATGGAAAATAATAGACCAGAAATATAATGACAAAAAAATTTAAATATAGCCTATGTATAAATTAATATGCGACACAAAAAGGCTGTTTATTATTTTGGCCGGTAAAAAATATGCTTGGCTGGTGGATTTTTTCATCTAATGTTACCAGTCCCCATGGCAGGTGATCCAAAAAATTTATTTCGGACCCTCACAGCACACACGAGCATGGCACAGCGGCCAAAAACACACGCACACGAGCATGGCACAGCGGCCCGCACACAACACTGCTTAATAAAGAAAAAGGACCATGACCAAACCACAATAGAATACCGTATTTTCCGCAGTATAAGGCGCACTTAAAAGCCTTTAATTTTCTCAAAAAATGACAGTGCGCCTTATAATCCGGAAAGCCTTATATATGGATCAATTGGTTAATAACGCTCCCCTCCGCGTTATTAAATTCACCCACGAACTCGCGCTCTTGTCCATCCTATGCCCGCTCTGTCACACGGCCAGTTCAACCTGGTACAAATCACTGTCCCCGGCGCTGCTCGCGCGTCACAGAATGTTCACAAAGCGCTCCCCGTTCAGCACTCAACGCAGTTTGCTTCGCGCTCCACTCAAATCGCCCCGGCTCGCTCCAAAAATCGAAATTATTTGTATTATTATTATTTTGTATTATAATTATTAATGCATTATTTGTATTTCACTTTTTGGTTTTGTCCTTACCTTACAAAGAACTAAAGACCAACAACAACATTTTCCAAACAGAAATGTTTCATTTCAAATTACAAATTAGGACTAGCCTAGGCTATGTAAGAACAATGTAGCATACACAAAAAGTCCTGTAAAATTAAACGAATCAATGGGCCTAATTATAAAAATAAAAAAATGGATATAGGCCTACATCAACGTGTTAAATGAAAAAGTAAATTAACTATTAGGCCACCAGACTTCGCTCCACTCCGCCCCATTCCTAATAAACGCCTCACCTCCGGCGCCGCGCACACGCTACATTCCCTTTAGCACATCTAGTGGATGCATAACGCAAACCCAGTCGAACGTATGACTGCAGTATCTTATGCGCCTTATAATCCGCTGCACCTTCAACGAATGACCTATTTTAGAACATTTTTCGCCTTATAGTGCGGAAAATACGGGTATGATAAAAAGAAACATGGCCTACCTTATTAAATCAGCAGCCGTTGCATCAGTGCGCTCTTCTCTGCTACCCTTTCAATGATGTAATCCGTGTCCAAAGAAACCAGAGTCTCTTTTTTGATTGCCATCAACATAAAGTCTACAAGATGCTCCTCCGCTGTGCTCCGTAATCGATTGTTGATGAATTTTAGCGTGGAAAAGCTTCGCTCACAAGCAACTTGTGTCACAGAGTTAACAGAAACTTGTAACTAAGTCCGATTAGATGGTAGGAGTCAGTGAGCAGGTAGGACATAGGCCAAATAACAACAGATGGGACATTTTTTGCAAGATTGGCAGGTTTTGTTCACAACATCCCATTCTTCATCTAGACTCTGCTCATCATATCCACCCTCATTACTCATCTTGGTCTGATACTCTTCGCGCACAGACACCTTCAGCTTGTCCCAGTGCGTAGCCAGGCTAAGTAGTTCACCCTGTAAGGCCTCAGGAGTTGCTCTGCTATCGTGTCTGATCAGTTTGGCGCTCAGGGCATTGAGTGCGCCTGCAGGTACACCGTTACATTTCAAGTCATTGAAATTCTGGGGATCAAGCAGGGCGAAATCTGTGTATAGTTCTCTGTTTTTAGCAAAACGTCGGGAAATACTTTCAATGATGGTATCCAGAATGACATTGTGCACTTGTACCTCATACTTGCTGTCAGCATCTGATATGGTTGTGTCATCACATAACTCGCCTGGCATCTTTTTTGTCTTCTTTGGTCTCCGGTTTGGCAGCGCATGTTCCACCTCTGCGTCTGTCTCACACACACATTTGATTCTCCATTGGCCCATTGCACAAATGCGTCTGTTGCTGTCTTTACCCTCTTAAAATCCCTTGCATATTTTTTCAGATTGTCTTGTGTGCTTGTGACAAAGCGATGGGCCGTGAGCAAATCCATTCCACTAGTTTGCAATTACTTGGAAAGTGGAGTTGTTTGTTGGAAGATGCGTAAAAACGTCTGGGCAGTGAGGATGGTTTGGCATTTAAGCAGAGCCTCTGCATAACCGTCGGTCTTCGCACGCACAGTCGGCTTCATATTGTCTTTCTCGCTCAGGGCCTCGAGTGTAACAACAAGATCGATGTAAATACATCCTTCTGGATCCCCAAACTTCCCAAACACTTTTGTAAGCGCAGCGTCTTTGGCCCACCATCGGGTTTCTGATTCTACTGATTGCGGAGCACTCCACACCTGATGAAACACTTAGAAGCTTCGTTTAGCCGTAGTCACGTGACGTAGGTGTTTTGAATCACGCTTCGGATCAGTAGGCTTGTTTGAGATGCGCCTTACCTCGCCTGAAATGTAGTCGAGAGTAGGCGGCTGCAGCAAGAGGAGGAGTGAAAAAAGCGCAGGCAAGCCAGACAAATCTCGGTTCTCGCTGTGGATCAGACTATAGACAGTATAGGATCAGACACCTGTGAGATTAAAGTCTGATATCGCGGGATTAACGGGATTCACGCTCGTCCGCGTGTTGCTAATAAACTGGATGTGATTTAAGTTCTGTTGCTTTTATATGAAAAAAAATATAGGCTAATGAACAAGACACCCAAAGTACTTGTTATTTAATTACATTCCAAATATGTGTTTATCAATCATCTTTTCTTTAATACAGACGTGTTTTATATATTGTTTTAATAAAAATTGCATCACATTATAACCCATATCACACTGTCAGAGAGTTTATTCACCTATAGCCTATGTATACACATAAAACATGATATCAGGTTTAAAATCAAACATTTTAAAAGAGAACGATACATCCCGGTTGTTTAAACCAATGAGCATAAGCTGTGTGGTCAGCAAGTCATTTCCCATCGTGCTTTTGATCAGCGCAGTCGGTGGAGAGCAACTGCGCGCGACTGCAGGTGCGCCTTGCGCTCGCGAGAGTTTTTTGACATACGTCGACATATCAGAGCCCGCTCTCGGACACATTTCTAACCGGCATGCATCTTGCGGTCACCGGATCATCGATTGACCACCGGTGATCGATTCTGCGCAAATTTTGCTCATCTCAAACAAGCCTAATGTTTCAAATCATCTGCGCTTCGGGATCTCGCAAAGCTTCGAAACGGTTTCGCTTCAGCCATCCCTAAAAATATCCCGTATTTTTACGCTCTGACTGTGTTAACTGACTCAGAACACGCAACTATCTGTGTATCGGCCCAAAACAATAGAAAATCACACCGGCCCTTCTGGCATGTGCCAGAATTTCCAGATGGCCAATCCGGGCCTGCTTGAAAATAATAAATGTTTTTGTTTTGTTTTTGTTTGTTTGTTTTTTTGCATTTTAAATAATAGAACATTTCTCAGTGATCGTCAATAATTCAATTTTTCTCGGTTTAATGAAAACCAATAGGTCAGAGGCGACTGCGTGTAGAATAGGTCAACATCCGGGTATCTGTCCACTGGAACGTGTTAACGCAAACGTGTAAGTTTAAACCCATGGTTCAACCGTGACAGACACGTTTTCCAAAGTGGACCAACGTGATTATTTCACGTCTTGTCGTGATAGAGTGAAGAGGGAGGTGCGTGTGCGAGATGCTCTATAAATGTCACACAAAGAAACAGCAGGTGCAAAACCAAACATTTTGCTGCTCTCGTGCATTATACTACCATATGAGTTTATCTATTTTCTATTAAATCATCTGTGACCACAAATGCCACGAACGGTTTTCGTTTAAGTTTTTTTTTTTATATATAAATTCCTATCAGGACATGATGCGTGTGATAAACATTGCTCTCGTTCTGAGTTTCTCCTGTATTTTGCAACAATTCGTTCAGGTGAACAGCCTGAGAGATAAAGGGAGGAGAGCACAGACCGATGGGAAGGGGAGGGGAAGAGGTCAACGAAATGAAAATGGTCTAAAAGGGAGATTCTCACTGAAGGATGGAGCGCGGTGCTCGTGGCTCGCTGCGCGCGAGCGTGATGCGTTTATATTGGGAGTCACCTGCAAAAACGGGGCAAAAAGTTTCGGCTGCGAATATGAAGCAGAGCCCACCACATGTCAGCAATACGCATCCAATGCCATAGCCTACTGGAAACAGATCGCCCGCTCGCTGAAAAAGCAGAAGAGATTGTGTCGCGACTCTACGGCAATGGTTAAAGCCGGTATGTGCAGGAGCGCGCCCGCGGATGCGCACTTCAGACTGAAGGACAGGCGTCCCTCTTCCAGAGTCCCATTACCGTCGCCCGAGGGGAACAATCACTGTCCAGACCGGATCGAGAGACTGAAAGTGGCCGAGGAATACTGCAGCAGCTCCTGGTCTTCACTGTGTACATTTCTCTTCTTGATGCTTGAGAATGATGAATGTTCATGACTGACTTTGACAAAACTATTTTATATTCCCCAAGATATAGCCTTATACATTAATTTTTGTGAAATCAGTTCTTCTATAAAATGTTTTCTCTTACTATTGGGAATAAAAATATGACATTTTCTGATTTTTCGTTACCCTTGTATTTTTCTTGTTGTGTCATTTCTGCACTCATAAGGTCCTTGGCTTGTAGGGTTCAATTAATTCCATAATCTAGGCTAAACTATATGGCTTTCATCCAAAACACATTAATCCAAAAGCTACACCATTCAAATGGATCATAGTTCCACAAGAAGAAAACAAATATGGATGCTAATTATGTAGGCTACCTACAAAATTTAGAAACATTAGATTTCAATAGTCTTTGCCATTATAGGAAAAACCTGTGTAATAGTGGCAGAATTCATACTAAATGTGTGTTTGTTTGCTTGATTGGTCACTGGAATAAAATGCCTTAATTTTCAGTTTACTGTAATCTTATCCTCAAAAGAATGTTCATTACAGTTTGCAAAGGTTTTGGGTCTTGCATGGAGACTGGCAAGTGTGGAACTAATTACTTTGCTCTTATTACTTTGACCTAGAAAGATCCTTTTCCTGTTGTTTCAGTTGTAGCTTTAGCTCAGATGAAGAGTGGCTGTTTCTTCCTCACAATAGAAACATTGAATAATTTTAGATCTCCCGTTTAAAACCCAGATTAATTACTCCAAAAGTGATCCTTACATTCCATAAAGCCATGTTCTTTCATACTAGTACCATGAAGTCTTAGAAATTATTCCTCAAGTTATGATGTGTAATAAAATTTTGAGGTCAGAATACACCAATATAAAGAAAGTAATTCCAGAAAAGAGCCATGCATGTTAACTCCATGTTTAGACCTGGACAAATGTCAAGATAACTTGATCAATAAAAACAAACTCAATCTGTGATTTTATTTTTTTTATTTTTTTATCCACCCCTTTTTGGAATACCCTCATTGCAATTGGAAATCTTTAATTTTGAGGTATTACAATATGCTTTTACAGTTTTACTGTTTCTTACTAATTACAAAAATTCTCTGAATCATGAAAAGTATGAAGAGTATGAATATGTTCTATGAAAGCATTAAATTACTGTTTTGAAGCTTCAGATATAAACATATTCTAGGATGCGGCTCTTTCTATAATACGTTGGTTAGTCATGAACCAAAATGCTCAAGCACACAAAACTGATTTTAGCATCTTGTGGGTTTCTGGTAACCATAAGAGCCTATGGTTATGACATTAAACACGCTCACATATGTTGTGGCCTCTCTTTTCCAAAAACAACATCACTGTTTGCTGACTTTTTCATTATGTAATTTAAAGAAAGCACCAATGAGGAACATTTCTGGACTCATTGAAACGTGATTACTAAACTGAAAACAGCAACAGGAAAATCTAGCGGAATTATGACTGTGCCCAAAACCGCATTATTTTGCCCAAGGATACGCTTTCATCAGGTATTCACATGAAGAATCAATTCGCTCATAAGGTTCCCATAAATACTGTGTTGCGTGACATTTTGGAATAAAAGAAGGATCATTGTTTAGATTTCAGCTCTTTGAAACAATAACATGTTTCAATAGAACCAACTATATGAAATATTGATCTTTTCATAGATTAATGAAGGTGTGGTGTTTTCTTGTGTGTGTGATGCCAAATTGTCACTTAATATTCTTGATGCTTTCATCTCCCACATGTGATTAATTCAATCCCTCCTCTCGTGTAACCTCTCAAGGGGATCCTTTACATCCTGGTGGCTCCTGTGGGGTGGGTGTGGCTTCATGAATGGTTTCCATGTGGACTGAGGTGGCCTGATCTCACACCCTGACATTCTGAACTCTGATTGGCTGAAATGATGACCTTAATAAATTCCATCTTGGAAATAGTGGAGTCCTCCCGAGAAATTAAGGGCTTTGTGTTGAGAGTGCCAGTGTTGGGATTTAGTAAAGCGATTTAGAGCTTGTTATCTACACACACACACACACACACACACACACACAAACAATCCACATACCACGCATAGTAAAACAATGTGATCTTATAAGAGTCTCAACATCTTTGTAGCTCATACTGCAGTCAAGGCAGTCGCAGTGGGGTGAAAGGTGGTGATAATCAAAGGTCAGGGGGCCTATAATTGGACATTATACAGATTGGGGTGGGGTGTGGGGGCAACAAAATCCAGCAGTTTTACTACATAGGCCCCTGTTGTATGAATTATTTTAATATTTATATTAGTCGTGTGCCTGAGATTTAAATGAAAACCACAAAAACATGCATTTTTCCAAATATTTTCTTCTCTTCCCTCCATAAAAATGTTTTAGTCCGATCTAACACAATAAAATGGTAAGTCCCACCCCAGCTCGTGAACAGAAGCAATCAAAGTTGAGGCGGCATGTCTGAAGTTAACAATGAACTTGGTGGAAGAGCAGGAGACTAACTGATGGGGAAAAGAAAATATAAATCAAGGTACCAGAAAGGCCATGAAACGAAGGAGAGGGAGGTCAGGAGAGTTGTTGTATCCCAGTCGAACAAAATGTTCTTAATGACAGGTTGTATTGTTATTTCGCTGGGAATAAGAAAACTGCCGTCTACAGCCTGCTGGGTACTGTCACATTTCATTATAGGTGCGCTCCACAATCGACCGAATGATTACGTGGTCAAAATTCCTGTCTTTTTACACTATTATAAATAGAGTTTTACATAAGTCACACAAGACACATTGCATTGTGCACCTGACCTGCCGGCTGAGTATGTAGGCTATTTATTACATCTAGAAAACACAAATACAACACACTGGACTTGGATGAGTACATTTATTAGATTTATTTAATAATATTACCAGTTCTTTATCTTTATTTAAAAAATAAGATGATAAATTATTTTATTTTTTAAATTAAAAACAGTCAAATCTACCATACTTTGTGTTGAGATAACAGTATGAAACAAAAGTGTTCACTTAATATATACAGCATGGGGACATATCAATTTTACATTCTATAAGTTACAGTATAAAGTTTTGAGGGAACTGTGTAAGTTCTCTGTCATTTACACTATACTGTTCAAAAGTTTTGTTTTTGATCAAAATAGATAAAAAATTTTGATCAAAATATTTGGTCAAAAATAAAATACAGTCATACTGTGAAATATTATTTCGATTTAAAATAACTTTTTTTTTGTATGATTTTAAAATGTAGTTTATTTCTGTTATGTCCAAGCTGAATTTTCAACATCATTACTCCGGTCTTCAGAGTCACATGATACTTCAGAAATCATTATAGTTGATTTGGAGCTCAAGAAAAATTATAATTTTAAACAGTTTTGCTGCTTAATTTTTTTTTTGTGGAAACCGCAATAACTTTTTTCAGGATTCATTGATTAATAGAAAATTCCCAAGAACAGCATTTGTTTGAAATATTTAATCAAGTACTGTAAATGCATTTAAGCCTGAGTATAAATTACTTTCGAATGTTAACATGTATGTACGAGGAAATAATCTCAAGCACTTTAATTAAGCAGAAAAAAACATGCTTGATAGGTCAAAATAGGCTGAGTAAACCTGAAAGAATTTGTAAAACAATACTGCCATCTACTGACAATAATTTGATTAAAAAAGTATTATTTTGAGCAAGGGAGGAACTACATAAGAATTAAAAAAAAACATTGATATAGTCCATTACATTTTATTTTCATAGTCTCTATTTTGAAACAATGATTCAAGCTAAACAACCAAATTCTATTAAAGAATCAATACATCAAACATCACATCAAACCCATCAAATAACCTCCTATTCTCCAATAATGACAACTTATTCTCAAACCATAAAACATAAATATGTAAAGGTAAACACAAATGAGAAAATATACATGAGAAAGCTGAAGATCAGATAAAGACTTATTTTCACACGTTAAAAAATAAATACGACCTCATGTTATGTCAATCACGCTTGCACACCGCCTCCGAAACTTCAGTCCATCATAAAAAAAAACGTTCTGCGTTTTTCGCATCCATAGCAAGCAGTTTGAATGGGGTTTGAATGGTTTTTAGACAATTAGGAGCTACCGAATCACGAATACAAAAAAAAACACATACGAAAATTTCGAGCTCAGTGTGCAAGGGCCTTTAAACTAACATGAATAAGCACAAAATATGAACTATTTCTAATCATTACCACCACACAGGTATAGCAGGGCCTTCTGATAATCTCCGTCAGTGTCTTCCTAAAAATATGTACAAAAGCCATGCTAAGATTTCTGTCTGAGAGAGAGAATATGTGTGCGTGTGTGTGTGTGTGTGTGTGTGTGTGCACGCATAACTTGCCTGTATGGTGCTGTAGAGTGATTCTCCATACTTCTTCTTGTATATCGCTCTGATGTCCAGCATATCTCGCTCACTCCTTGACACCATGATTCTTATGAGAGTCTCATCATCAGTGCCAGCACGCTGTAAATAAACAAACCAATAATGTGTGAAATCTGCTGTTCAATTATCATTCACGTCAACACATTCATTTACTAAGCAGGCCACAAGTTGTTTTTATTTTTCCACCTGAAGTGTCAGCGTTTAATAATCTTAAATGAGCACCAAATGATCCAATTCATGATTGTCAGAGGGGGGAAATTGATGAGAATCTCATGGAAATAAGCCTTCATCATACCCGCATTGACTCTCGGAGGGTTTCAGCAAAATAAGCAGGCACGCTTTTTGCACACTTAACTGAGTGGAGAGAGAAAGAGAGGAAAAAATCAGTTTTATTTTTCAGTTAAAAGGGTTTTACTCACCCACATGTTGTTCTTCACCTCTATGTTTTTAGTTATACAGCTCTTGTCATGCAACTATAGTTAATAGAGACCATAAAAGCACCTTTATTAGCCTGTCTCCAAATGAATCCCTTTCATAAAGAGCAACATTATCAGTCAAAAAAAAGACAACTTACTTACAAAATACTTCACTTTGCATTTTCTTGGATCTTTTGATCATCATAGTTTGCCTTTTTATTCTTGAAATTAAATGTGAACTCTTCTTTTAGTTTTCATTAAAAGTTGAGTTTTGTTCAGTCCATCCAAATAGCAAAATAGCAAGTAGCAAAAAGTGACTACAGTGGCTTGAATCTTAAGTTTATCAAATGACGAGAAGACTTTTTGTGCATTAAAAAACAAACAAAAATAACAACTTTATTTCAACTATTCATTTCCTTCTCTCTGGACGATCTGTTGTTGTACGTCACACACATGACCAGTCGGCCAATAGTGAGCCTACGTGTGACGTTCAATTGACTAGAGGCCCAAAGAGAAGGAAATTAATAGTTGAAATAAAGTCGTTATTTTTGTTTGTTTTTGCGCACAAAACGTGTTCTCGTCATTGCTTGCTAAAGATAACGATTGAGCCACTGCAGTCACTTGGATTATTTTAGCGATGTCTTTAATAACTTTTCGAGGCGGCAAGTTTCAATCCCTCAAGAAGCCTATGGATTAGTATGGAGAAGTGATCCAGCTCTCAGATTTCATCAAAAATATCTTAATTTGTGCTCCGAAAATGAATGAAGGTCTTACGGGGTTGGAACAACATGAGGGTGAGTAAATACTGACATAATTTTCATTTTTGGGCGAACTATCCCTTTAATCCTGTATGTATAGCCATACTGCAGGAATTTTCATACCCACAGCCAGCAACAGTGCTTCCAGGTTCCCAGTGCACTCATCTTTTAAGCTCTCTTCAATATCACAGCCGGCAATCTTTTTGTAGGCATCAAACACTGAAACAAGAACACCAAAGCCATTAGGTTGGCCCTTCTGAATGCATCAAAAGGCTTTGAACACACATATACAAGCGTGTACCTTTTCTCAGGTGTTCTGCACTCCTGTTGCCAAGTATATTGATGAACTTGTCCTCGTCCGTGCCGAATTTCTCCTCTCCGGCAGCAAACAGCTCCTGAAATACAATCAACAAACAAACACTTCTAATGTTTGCAACTTAAACCCGAGGATCTGGTTACGTCTTTTTTACATCAACGTACATACGCGACTCTAATGATTCATCAAATACCATCGGGCAAAATTTATAACAATAGATTCAAAACACAAAGTCCAAGCATGTGTTCAGTATAATAAAAGCGATGCAAAAGCACCATACAAGCTCAGACAAAGCTATTGTATGGTTTCAGAAGACTTGAAATATAGTGAATAATTTATAAGGGCTAGTTTTATGGTGCTTCTTTGTCTTTTTGTTTTAGCTTGACTGTATAAATCACCATCCACTTTGAAAGGAAACAGAAGCTTGGATATTCTGCCTATGAGAGTGAGTAAATCACAAAATTGTATTTTCTTTACTTTGTCATACAGATTTGGAATGAGGTATTGTAAAATACAGAATTGTCATTTTTGTGACTGTTTTGAACTTTACCTTGGCATCTTTTTCCACTCTGCTCTCATCCACTCCCTCATCCCTGTTTGCCTGTTATAGAAAAAGAAACATAACCAAGGTGAGAGAACATCAGAGAAACTTCAGCCCTCCTCCACCTACCATGCTGGGACCGGGTGTGGAATTTCTCCTAACCTGTTAAAGTCTCATATTGAATTACCTACACTTTACCCCTGAGAACCATTTAATCTTCTCCACAAGATTAACTCAAGAGCTGTTTTAATTACTTGAGGATGACTTCACGGGTGCTCATGTTATCATTCCAAGAGGAAGCTGCTCGGTTTCGTTTCTTTACCTTTTTTAGTATCTTTCCCTTATCTCTGATCCTATTCAAGACGATGACCAAACTCATATATCACAGTATAAGTCACTTTATATAGGCTCTTGATAATGATATATTGATTGGAAATAATGGAAATTATTCTTTATACTCTGTTTAGAGAATGTACCATCCTACTGCTTAACACTTAACTTAATTAGCCTCTCTATTTGATTTCCGTTTAAACTGAGAACCCACTGGTTTTTTTTTTTACCTGTATAAGGATCACCAGCAACCTCTGGTAATGTCCTGACGTATCACCGATTATGTCTTTTTCCAGTTTGCCTCCATGTTCTAGGTCAAGACACATGAGACAGGGTCTATTGACAGTTCACACTTATCTCGACAATTGCTGCTTATTGGTTACAACTGAGTCTAATTGGAAGTGATCAGTTGTAACAGTGATGCCCTGCATTAATTATGATCGGAAACACTTTACCTGAAGGGGTGTGCATAAGACTGGACACCTTGACATGACACCTTCATATTCATGACATGACATATGTTATGAATATGAAGGAAGTTTTATGCATGTTTGTGACAACTGTCATTAAGTGTCATTCGCTCAGTTATGACATTTTTAATGCAAATATGACATTGTTTGAGATGTTTTTGTCATGACAACTTGACATTAAGACAACACAACCTGTCATAAACATGACATAGCAGATTAATTATCAAACTTAAGAAACCACTTAGCTTTATGGGTTAACATTACATTAAACTGTCAGGTGGTTGGTTTTGACCTTGGCTGTCATGAAGCCATTGTAACTTTTTAATGACAAATTCAATTGGTACCACTGTAGTTGAGGTCAAGAAAAATATTCATGACACAGTTATAATGGCCTCATGACAGCAAATGTCAAAGCCAAACACATGACAGTTTAACTTAAATTTATGTCAAGACATCTTAAACAATGTCATATTTGCATTCAAAATGTCATTATTGAGCGAAAGTCACTTAATTTGTCACAGTTGTCATAAACATGCATAAACCCTACTTCATATTCAAGACATGTCATGTCCTGGTTATGAAGGTATCATGTCAGTCTTATGCAAGTATACAAGTAAAGTGTTAAAAAAATTCAATTCAGTCTAAACCTGTGCCTGCACAATGAATATTACCTTTCTTGTAAGCTTTGCAGATATCTTTCATCTCATCACATGTCCTGGATGCCAGAATCTCAATTAAAACTTGGTCCTCAGTACCTACTCCCTGTAAGTTAAAAAAAACAAAAAAAAAAACAATAAAAAGTTAACCAATGTATCATAAGGGGAAATGTTGTTCTTTCATTTTTTTCCTTTTTCTAATTTTAATTATATCCCATAGATGATGAAAATGGTGACGTTACCTTGATGGCCTTATGGAGTTCTTTTGCATCATATATTGCGGGTGGAGCCATGAGGGCCACAATGAGATCCTCTAGCTTCCCTCCAAGCTCAGATCGTAAGTCTTTCACTAGATCCTGTAGAAAGGGACAACATGAGAGAAATTAAGAGAGAACATGAAGACTATATAATGGCCATCAAACTGATGATGCAAAGCTCATTAGCATTTTAACATCACTTTAGATCATGTCAGCACTGATTTATATCAACATCAATAAATGGTTGTGTGCAAAACGACGGACAAAAAGAAAAAAGTAATCTAGATGTACTGCTATTGATTCACAGCAATGTTCCTAAGCAATTGAATGGAACAACAATCATGTTTGAATAGATTTTGTCTTCATTTTGAACAGCATTTCTACTGTGTTTTCATTTTAAACCTACTTTACATATCTATACTTTATGTATAAGAATGTATAGAGTTAAAAGACACAAAATTAGATTAAAAAAAATATATTATTTCTGGTCTGGCACAAGATAATACACTGTAATACACTCACTCACCTTGCCATGAGCTTTCTTATAGGCTGCTTTTATTTCCTGTCGCTGGGCATTACTGCGAGCTGCCAGTAACATGAGGATGGCATCTTCATCAGTGCCTGAAAACAAAGCATCCACACCAGCTTAGACAAGAGGGCAAGAGTGAGATAGTGTGTAGGTGTGAGCTTAAGATGGTTTACTTCTATCCACTGACAATTCAAAATCAGCAGCAAAAAACACCTAGATCAAACAAATGGTGAACTCTCTAGTGTGTTAAAGGTCTGATTTGTTTAACTCACCAATTCCTTTCATGGCCTTGCGCAAAACGTCTGCATCATGCTTTGCATTGAAGTTCACAAAGGGTTTCACACTGCCTCGGGTTGCCTGCAGAAAATACAAAACCAAAATGAATGTATTCCAAAAGAATTATAATTATAATACCAGTATATAATATTAATGGAAATTGGCGTCATTCTGTTCTTCACAATTAAACTGCATAATGTGTCAGGGAAACTACAAATATAATTTGAATATTCAACAATATTCTGAGTATCATGAATTATTTGTCAAATATGAACTCACATTAAAAAAGATGGCAAGTTTTTAAAGTTTGCAGAGCAAAATATTTTTTATATTGAAAGAAAAGTAGAAAGTCAGGTTTGACTTTGCAAGGTTTTTGTTATTATTACTGTGGCTAAATAGGAAAATGTCAAACAAAAATAATTCAGCTATATAATTCAAGACAATAAAAAACATCTGATGTTATCTCGAGCGAGTGAGTTCTGAATGGAATAGAGAGCACAGGTATTTGAGAATATGAGAAACATCAACCTCATTATTAAACCTGCATGCAATGTCTCATGTTGTTAATTATTAGTCTACGGAATTACTAAATATCAACCAAATAGCAAACAAGTGATCATATGAACCAATAATTCTGTAAACTGTATAAAATAAATGTGATCTCAGTCTCTAGATGACCTTTCAAAGGCTGGAAGCAAACAAAGCCACAGTTCTTGTTAGAAATGTGATTGTAATCTTTCTTGTTAGAAATGTGATTGTAATCTTTCTTGTTAGAAATGTGATTGTAATCTTTCTGGTTGCCACTTAAAAGCTCAGTAAACAACATATACACACACACAGAGAGTGTCTGTAATCCATACACAACTGATTAAAGATAGACCAGGACTATGGCTCAGGTTAATGATAGTGCTGTGGTGAAGGATGAGATAAGGTATAGGGTTTGGGGTTCAAGTTCAGGTGGAAGGTTAGGGATCAGTTAACCCTGAGACCTTCGGTCCAATTTGATACCAAAACCAGTAGCTTTAATCCCATGGTTTCTATAATGAATTGCTAAGAAAGCACATGTAGGACTAGCCGTCTTGGAATAATTTCATCTTGTAAAAACTGCCTGTGTCACAGCATTAAAGTTTTAAGAAACAACACACGATATCAACATGCCAGCCAGCCCAAGTATTACTAATCTATGTGCTACAGTATATAGGGGTTTACTTGGTTCTGGCAGGAGTGGAATGATAAAGCCACAGTGACCTAGGCCTATTCAGTGGATTTCCTCATACAGGTATCATCTGCTGTAATCCAATCATCCATCACCAACTCATACATTCTTATTTGTGGGGATTCATTTACGTGAAAAACAATCACATTTCACCTTTTTTCTATATTTTGATGACACTAATGATTATCACAGTCATTATACTACTTTTTTTTGTAATGTTCAAACGATAAAAACTATAACAAACATATTAGACCGGAGTTAAACAGGCAAAACAACACAAGACCAAGTCCTAAAAAGAGCCTGATATTTCACGTAGGCTATCTAGACCATTTAAAATGTTAATGTTAATACATATGCAACTCATCACTTACCATTTGTGCAGGTACAGGAAGTACAATATGTGAAGTTCTGAAAAGAAAGAGTAGGATATATAACGTTATCTTTATCAGACCAATTCAGTAGGCTATTACGGAAACTGTGAAATGAATCGACAGTTCAATAGCTAAATGACTGAGGCTACATAACATTAATAACAGTAGGCAACGTCATCTATTGAACACAGCGAACGTACCTGTTGAGTGTTGATGTATTCTGTCACCTGTGCGCGAGAGGTCAGACTTCTAGCCCGTCAACAGCGAGGGAGTTGGAGCTGGATGTAGGACACGCCCACAATAACAGCTGTCAATCTTATTGACTGACGCGGAGAACACGAACAGTGTAATGCGCTGTGGGCTTCGTATTCTTTTACGTGACGTGACAAACTTTATATTTTTTAGCATTTAGTTGATAAAGCTATAAAAAATTACTGGTCAAAATATGTATAAGCTAAATAGTCATATGACGGGGCACAGTTAAGCTGTTTTACACCAAAACACCAAATGCGCACTTATTATTATATATACAGTATTTCGGTTCATTTTTAATTCTTCATGATGTAGAAAGTCCAGAAAAAAAAAATATATATATATAATATATATATATATATATATATATATATATATATATATATACAGTATATATATTATTATTATTATTATTAAATTATTCAAAAAGGAACATTTTCAACAGTTATGTTTTGGTTTAGAATTTCCACTAAATGCAAAAAAATAAAAAATAAAATGCTGAATACTTTTGCTCAATAGACCATTTCACAAGATGTAAAAAACACATGGTCCAGAAGAACTTCCTGTTTCAGTTTGTAACTGTTTTCTTTATTTCACATGTAAAGAAAACATCTTAAAGATGTTTGTTTAACTTTTTTATTCAGTTTTAAATGTTCTGTTGGTTGTATTTTATCCCAGCTTTTATGTAGAGTTAAAAAACTGAAACAGGAAGTGCTTCTGGACCAGTGTTGTTTACATCTTGTGAAATGGTCTATACTTTTTGTTTTAAGTGAGTAACTAGCAAGCAGAGGTAAAAGTGTAACACGTCATGCGATGAAGGTCTAGCTTTTGATCCAGATTTCGCAATTCAATTCAGATTCACAAGGTCTTGTTTTGATTCACTTCCGATCTCCATTCACATTGCTTCGATTTTGATTCATTTGGAAATATTTCAGGTAACATTAGCTATATGTCAATTATTCTAAAGGAAAAAAAATCTCAACTAATGCTGTGAACAGTGTTCAGACTTCATTAGAACAACACCAGGGTGAGTAAATGATGTTCATGTTATGAACTACCTACCCCTTTAAGAAATGAGATATTTTTATTGCGGTTTTATCAGAATTATTTACAGCACGACATGCTTTATTAAATATGACTGCAGAAAAAAGGTGATGTAGTATTTTATTTTATTTCATAAAATGTCACATCAGATTTATACAGCAAAACAAATAATAACAATCAGAACGTCAATGGTATAGTACAAAGAAATCCAAGTTGTATATTCAGTAAAGCATGTCTGATTGTAGAATGTGAAGATCTGCTGTATTCAGTGCATCAGGAAGTAGGAGAGCAGAGAACCGCAGAGAAACAGCAAGCTCTGGGTGACACTCTGAGACCCGTTACACAGGTTCCCCTCACAACATGTGATGCCCTGAACATTACTAACTGATGTGGCATCACAAATGGATTTAGATACACAGCCTTTTACAACCACTGACTGGTCTCCAAAAGTCCCTGATAAAACGAAAGAAAACAAAGGTTGATTCAGTCTAAGCTGGACATTGATATATGTGATCTTTGTCAAATGTTTAAACCCAAGACAGTTTAAAAGATAATTATTTTAGTCTTCTTCCGTTTCCAGATTCTCACCTGTTGCTTTAATGCAGCGATCTTCAGTCCCTGAACAGCTCACTGTGTTTGAGCAGCTCTTTCCATCACAAGAGAAACATTGCTTTCCATTGGGGATGTTAGAGGAATCTACAGGAGGAAAACAAGTATCCTTTTCATTTTATTTTTCTGTACAAAATATCTACTGAAACAATACTCTTTTTGCAGCTCCATTCAATCATTCAATCAATTTTATTTTCTGATTGAATCTCATATGGAAGTAAATTGAATGTCGACTTTAAAGAACATATATTTGTATGATCGTTGAAGTACGATACCTGGAGCATCTTGAGCGTTACACTGGTCTGTGCCACAGCAGGAAGAAGTCATCCGCACCATGCCGATATTCATTGACCCACTTTGACAGGCAGCAGCACAATTTTTAGACTTCACTTTAGAAGTTATGGCACCTAAAAATATGAATGAGGAAAGACCAATTCAACTGGATATTAGTTTAATCGTAAATGTATTTATAAATGTCAAAATTTTGCATTTTTGTCATTTCAAAGAACCAGTCATGGCACCATCTCCATTAGTCAAATAACTACATTTCAAATTCAATCATATTGGACTTACCAATTTGTGTTACAGCTGTTGCACTCTCGCACTGAGAAGTTCCAATAGGACATGTTTTAACTGTTTGTTCTGCACAAGAACCCGTCATACTCATGCACTCATAACAGCTGAGAGAATGTCCTATAAAACAGAGAGAATGAGATGTCATCAATTATCTGTATTTGGACCCAGTAACATCACAAACACTATTTGTCTTCGTACCTGGAGTGAAGAGAATGAACAGAAGAAAAACTGAGAGTTGCAGATCCATCTTTGATCAGGAGGTGAGTGAAATAGCGTGTCTTGTTTCAGTGCCATTTATAGTTTATCAAAAAGGGAGGGTCTTCATGAGAAAATGAAAGTGAAATATTTCTTGAAAAAGAAACTTAATCTTATTATATCTAATCTTATCAATTGAAGATAAAGGAAAGTTTAAGAATTGCAAGAAATGTATAGGCCAATACTTGAACCAACCAAGTGATGGTTGACCCAAACCTGGAAATTCTGTCATAATTACTCATCCTCATGTGACATGCCATTCAAAACCTGTATGAATTTATTTCTTCTGTACAGAAGTATCTTCTTTTTTACTGCAAAAGGAAATTACATTCAAATAAAAAGTCTTTAGTGATTACCATTCAGTGAGCAGTGAAATGCTGCAGTTCAGTATTAACCCTACACACCGTATGGGACATGATGCAACCTGTTTAAACAGAATCATAAGTTTCATTTACTCTGAAATTATGAACTAGACCTGAGGCATTGTGAAATCAAATGGTCTGTCAGTGCATCTGATTTTGCATCGCTACAAACAGATATAAAGGAAGTGGTTGCTTCTTTTTTTAATAGTTCATTGTTTTGCAAAAAAAAAAAAAAAAGTCAGTCACACCACAATAGCAGAACCATTCTAAGAAAAAACTCTAAACTGTTATATTGATTTATTTTAAATGAGAAAGCTTCCATACTCAAGAAAACAAGCACATGCTCTGCAGACAGATATTATTGCCTATTTTGACAAATTCCTAAAGAATAAATTACTCAATTAAATTACTAAATTACTAATAAATTACCCGAGTCAGAACTTATTATTATTTAACATTATGTTCCAAACATTTAACCGACGACTGTTTCCTCAACTTGGGCCAATACAGAGCTGGTCTCAATGAACGTCTGAAAATAAATCGAGCTACCAAGCAACAAGTTCTGATGTGTTGCATATTTGTTCAAGTTCAGACAGGTAATCTTTCTCTCAAAATCGTTCAATACTGTTTATGCATCAGTAAGTCAAGCCAGTGACTAAAATATCAAGTTCACATCATTTCTTTAAGTAGGATGAAAATAATCTTATTTAAACTGTGAACAAATAATACAGAAAGCCATCAAAGAACAATCTTTCCACACAGCAGGAGTTTATCTGGACAACTCGTTATGAAATCAGTGATGCACGTTACAGTTTTTTTCGATTGCTAAACGACAGTGAGCACGACTGGAGCTAAATGTGCAAAACTCTAACTACAGTCTGCACTACGAACAGTCACCTGAGCACAACTCTTAACACACGGCTCAAAACAGGCTCAGTGTGCACAACACAATACACAACCCTCAGATAACACACACTGTCACTCAGAACACACTGAGAGGGAAAACAGTAGCATCAAACACCAATGCAGAAAATCCAAACTTTTCATCTTTACAGTTTCAACAATTTCAGTGACTTCATACAAAGTAATATTTTTTTATAATAATTTATTTGATATATTTACATTTTTAGAACATAACAATTGAAAATTAGCAGTTTGCTTCTGTAGTAATGATAAAAAAGGTAGAAACTAAAAGTACATACTGTAATACTGTAACCCTGCCTCTATCAAGCATCAGGCCACAAGTTTTCAGCCGTTCAGCTGAAGTTGTTTGAAAATCAGCAGTGTGTGAAAGGCACAAGGCTGAAATTTATTCTGTTTTGAATGTGTGGTTCAGTTTTGACAGCAGTGTGTTAGCATTTGAACAAAGTGTTGTAAATCCACAGTGTTGTGCAGGTTGTGTTTTAAGTCATGGGATAAGTGTGTAGAGTTTCGAAAACTGTGTTCAAGCAATGAAAAACAAACTAGAGTTTGGTCCGCATGAACTGCTCCTGTGCAGATTGGAGTTAGAGTTTTGCACATGTAGCTCCAGTTGTGCTCCACTGTAGTTTACAGTTTTTTTCGACACACACTGCTGATTTTCAAACAATTTCAGCTGAAAGGCTGAAAACTTGAGGCCTAATGCTTGAGAGAGGCAGGGTTAGCCCCTCATTCGAATTATATGCACTTATAGTTACTTTCTACCCTTTTTTTCTCATTACTGTAATTCTGTAAATTACTACAGACTATTGAAGCAAACTGCTAATTTTCATTTTCCTTAAAGAATTGTTATGTTCTAAAAATTTAAATACTGTAAATCATGTGAAAGAATGTCACTCTTTTCTTTGAAAAAAATATTACTTTGTATGAAGTCACTGAAAATGTTGAAACTGTAAAGATGAAAAGTTTGGATTTTCTGTATTGGTGTTTGATGCTAGTGTTTTTCCTCTCAGTGTGTTCTGAGTGACAGTGTGTGTTATCTCAGTGAGGGTTGTGTATTGTGTTGTGCACACTGAGCCTGTTTTGAGCCGTGTGTTAAGAGTTGTCCTCAGGTGACTGTTGGTAGTGCAGACTGCACATTTAGCTCCAGTTGTGCTCACTGGCGTTTAGCAATTGAAAAAAAACTGTAAAACTCAGGGCAGTGAAAATTGCACATTTTTTAAATACATTTTTTACTCTTGTCTCAGATAAGAACTCTCAAAATGGTTATGTAATAAAAAAATAACAAATTAGTTATGCAATAATATGTAATATAAATACTATGTTCAGGGTTTTTTTTTTTTGGTGTACTTTGACAAAATAGTACACTAAGCAACTTTTGACAACTTTGTTAACTGAAATTGTTGTTTGTGTGTGGACTAAATTATCATTGTTTTCTTTAGATGAAGTTTGTCTTTTCTTCATGTCTTGGATTTGAACTTAATCAATAGTTTGAATATTATTTATTATATAATTTTCAGGCAGTGACAGATGTAATAACCAGAGCACCGAACAGCCCTCTCCGAAAAGTGAATGATGGGCAATTGTAGACTTATTGCCAGTGCCTTCCTTAAAGAATTATGCTTTTCCAGAGACTTTTAATGAGATGCTTATTTTATTTATAGTACATCACTTCAACCCAGCAACATATTTTTGCTGTGTTGAGGTAATATAATAAATCATGCTCATTCCTGCAAAATGGATTGTTTTTAGACTTGCCAAGCAAGCCAGGAACATTCATATAATTATGTGTCAGTGGCAGAAGTGCACTTAAGTTCAATCATACCGTATGTAAATATCACTCATCAAATAGAAGAACCCATGCTGATTGTGTTTCTGCTCAACATGCAGTGTGGTGTGAATTTAATTTTCTCCCTTGCCTCACACACACAAACACACGTGTCTTGCCCTGTGAACGGTGGAATAAAATCAACAGAGTTGACTTAATGGATGAAGATTTTTTACTAGACCACTGATTAGAACATCGCCGTATCCCTCTGAGCGGTGTCTTACGCATATGCAAATGCATGTTTAGATGGTACTTAAATCTTTCATCCTTGTGCAGATCAAGGTGTGAACATTGCCAGTTAAACTTATTAGCTTTTATTTTGTTTTAACAACATTTAACATTTTGAGAGACATATTATTTTCTCCGTCTCCATCATGTTTATTAACTTTATCCACCTCACTCAGTCTACCAAAGAAACAACAATAAAAGGACCACTGAAAGGACACAGGGGGAAATTATGTAAAAATGTGCCGCTTTCTTTTACAAAGCTATAGAATATTTTGTAACACAAACATCATGTTTGAACAGTATTGAGTGCAACAGGTCCCTTTGTAATTAGCAATTCCTGAAGGAATTAAGGGTTGCGTCATGGAAAGCCATTTTTCATTCTAGACATTTTCTTAATATGCAACATAATTGATTTCACTCTTTCATTCATAAATTACACTCTTCCTGCCAAGGACAAACAGTGGGTGTGGGGGTGGGGGGGGGGTAATATTTATTATATTATGAAATAATATTTATTCTGAAAATATTAGCAGACATACTGACTGACTTTTCAATTAATCTTTTTTTATGTGTGTGTGTGTGTGTGTGTGTGTGTGTGTCTGTGTTCTAATATAATATAATTTGAATTAATCTTATTAAAACTCTGCATAGTAAATTCATTTGTGTGTATCTGTGTTACAAAGAACTGATGTCAGAATAACAATTTGATATTTTGGATTTGAATCCTTAGAGAAAATGTGTGCTTCCTAAACACAATTGTGTGTGCTGGAACATAAGCATCTGCATACGCAATAGATAAAAGCCAGTAAATACATCTCACATTTCCTTTGCAAAAGCTTTAAAAGTCCTCAACACTGTTTTGCTTTCTTTCATCACTCCCATGCACATCTTTGCAGCTGTTTCAGAAATCAGAGCTGAATCTTTATCCGACGTTTCTCCCTCAGAACACTTGACGTCTGCAGGAACCCAGATGTGGCTGAAGGGTGCTTTTGCCTACAGAGTTCCCGAGCTGTTTCATCAGCATCCACAGAAGAAGTCCCATCAGAACCAGCAGGACTGTGAAGAGCCCCACATACACACTTAGGTTCCAGCCCCATCCCGCTATAAGAGGCAAGGCTGTGGACGCCACCAGGAATCTCCTTGGGGAAGGCATCAGTTGCAATAAAATTGCATTAAACTACTACAGCACTTCAGGGAATCCTCTGCTGAAGCCAGGGGAAATGTAACTTGGTTTGCAAGATTTATCCATGACAGGTCCTTGATGTCCCGATGTCAAATCTTAATTTGTAATCCAGAAAGAAGCATGCTTTGTCTCTTTGGTGTTGTGCAAAATGAGAATGATGCTTGAAGTCCTCTCTGCAGCTGCACCCCCTCCTGCTGTTGTTGAGTCACATCCACTCCCTTCATCCATTGTGTGTGTGTGTGTGTGTGTGTGTGTGTGTGTGCGTGACTATATTATGATGATCAAATGTTCCTAAAATCATCTACACTATATTGTGCAACAACGGATGAAAATGTAAAAATTCAGAAAGATTTGTTTGAGTGAGGTCATAAATAAAACAAATAAAATATGAATAGCCAAAACAACAGAGGTCAATGGAAAATGAAAACAAATGTATGTGTTTTGCTTTTGAAAAAGCATTCTCAATGGATCGATTTAAAACCAGCCTAAAATGGTTTGCTGGTCTTCACTGTTCTAACCCACAGTCAGACTGGTTTGTCAGCAGAGGTCTTCCTCCTTGTTTTATTGGGCTGTCCCCACAAAACATATAGCCTACGTTTCAATAACAAACTAGGCCTACATAAAATTAAAACTATAAACATGTAAATGAATTATATTCCTCAGGAATGAAATATCCTCCTACAGGAATAGACTTTTGTCCTCTGTAGTGGATATTAGATTTTAGTGAATTTCTCTGACAACATGTCGTATGTTTTAAGTCGTCTTGTAAAGAGCACATTCATGTCTTTTCAGAGATAGCAAATGTTTGGAGGTTTCACAATGACACCAACTTCTCCTTGGTCCTTAAAATGACTGATATTAATTTAGTGATCAAATTTTGCACTCTTATGGAAATGATATTTTGTAATTATTATTTAAATCTGACCAATTGTCTAATTGTTTGTCATACATCAACATTTCAGGGTTATGTGTTTTTTAATCAAAATATTACTTTGATTTCATATGTCCACTTTTAGGACACCATCATACAATAAGATTTATATTGCACATTTTGAGAATGTCATATGATTTCTTTATTGTTTATTGTAATAAGAAAAAGTTCAATAAAAAATGAGAAAAAAAATGTGAATCAGACATTTGGGGAGAGACGGCAAGTGAATATAGGGAAATAAATTATTTACATTTTCATTAATGTATTTGGCAGACGCTTTTATGCAAAGCGACTTACATGTCAAGGTACACATTTTAAATTCTTATCAGTTCTTGCTTTCCCTGGGGATTGAACCAATGACGCTGGCGTTGCAAGCGTCAATGCTAGGTACTGTTTGAGATACACGGGGGAAAAAAACATCAATATTCCAATGAAATACACTCACGCCTCCCCATTCCAGTTCTCTTTCTACGCCATTCAGTATAGAAACATTATTGTATTTAATGGCAAAAATATTAGCAAAATTAATGGTAGGCCTATTTATTTATTCATTCTGTATCTTTCATAACACATCCAGTTGAGTATTATCTTTAAACAAAACCTAAACATTCATTGGTAAATGAAAAAGAAACTCCAGTAGGATATAACTTTAGTTCTATTCTTCCCCTTGTAAATACTTTCCTGAATCCTAACTTTATCCACATTTCAAGACTCTATTATCAGGTTTTTAGGGTATCAGGGGAAAATAATGTTAAGATAAAATTGTGTTCAGATGCTTCTGACTTGAATTAAATAAATAAAAAATATTCCCAGTGTTTTGAACAAATCTCGTTGCTGTTACCATGGTAACCAGAGATAGTTTGGGTGGCTGGTAAAACATGGCGGCGGCGCTACAGAAGAAACGTGTTAGCTGCAAACAAAAACAGTTTTGCTGGTGTACTTAGTCGAATTTCTTTTTTTTATTATCTGCGGATCAAAGCATATTTTCGGATAAATGTCTACGAATATACGGGATGGGGGTTGCTATATATATTAAGGTGACATGAATCATCTTGTAAAGCGGACAAACTGGCACAGCTAACGTTAGCCAGTCTTATCTGCAGCAGAATCAGCCACTAACAAACTAATCCGCAGGATAATCCAGTCGGTTGTGACTACTAGCGGGACCACTGTGTTATATGTCGGTCGGAACAGCACGAAATAAATATATTTCTGTTTCAATGCATCTTAGGGAATGAATTACAGGGAACTGCAATAGAACATCGTAAATGATCAACAGTTAAACTGTCATAATTCATTCGGATCTGTGCACTGAATATTTTTCTAACAAACGAAATGGAATTAAACTTAAACCACGTTGATTATCTCCAGGTAAGACCTCAAACATTCCTATGCACACATTTGTTTAGTAACGTTAGTGATCAAAAGTAATGTACGAAGGGTATATTTTTAATGACCCTACAAGTTCGTTTAAAACATCAAAACATGAGGAAAATATTTTATATGTATATTTTAAATATGTGAACAGTTATTTGACACAAAAATGCCACAGGTTTTATTTTTGAAAAAAAAAATGCAAAAAAAAAAAAAAAGCTTACAGGAGGAAAAAGCATACACTGACTTTAAGATAATCAGTTATTAATATTTAGTTGGTCTTTCTTGTTTTTGCATGTTAGTTTCACCCTGACCAAACATTATGCCTGCATATGTTTCATTGCGTTATCATCACAAATTAAAAAACTGACCCCAAGCACAACTACCAAATATGCTTACAATTTTTTAGTAATATTTGCATAAAGGTTCCAGGCAGAGGCGTAGCAAGCTTTTGAAAAGTGTGGGGGATGGATGTGTCATTTAAATTTGGGCATGTTACGTAGACCCCTGTCCCTCTAGGGGGGTTGGGGGGCATGCTCCCCCGCAAGAAAATTTGGTACATTTTAAGGTTAAATGCATCAATCTGGAGCACATTGAGAGCTCAAAATTAAGAGCTTCAACTAGATTCGACCCAGGCCTGTGCACATTGAACAACGAAAAAGCATTGACTTGTAGCTTACTTAAAGAGGGCTCAAACATCTTTATAGTTATGATATAGAGTCTGTCATTATATTCTATATTACGCTATCAAAATTACAATACTTTTGTCCTAATTTCTTCACTTGTAAGAAATAAATCCTTGAGCTTTTATTTAGGAGAAAACACAGAACACCATGCTGATCGTGTGAGCAAAGAGCGCGTTTTTTTTTTTTTTTTTTTTTTTTCAAATTACGCAGCATTACAAACAGAATGCCTAACGCAAGTCTTGTACTGTTTATCCAAAAATACGAAATATAATAATGAAAACACTGGACATGTCAATAAAACATAAACATAACATCTTCCCAAACACATATCAAGCTTATTTAAAAACCTCGAAAGCATAAACACTCATTCAAAGTACCTGGAAAAGGGAGATGTAAACAACCATAAGTTCGGGACTTAAGGCAGAACAGCCAATCATCAGCCGGACACACTCAAAGCTGGTGTCATGTTTGAGAGGAGACAGCCGCAGCGAGCGCACACCGCGCACACACACACTGAGCGCCAGAGAAACGGAGGAGCGACTGTAGGAAGGCGTTTGTGTGTTTGTTTGTTAAAACTGCGGAAAAACGGCAGAAAAAGTGCGGGTGTTGAACACTTTCACCGGGAAAAGTGTGGGTGTTAAAACACCCACATCCCCCACGGTTGCGACGCCCCTGGTTCCAGGTGTAATTTTTCCAAGGATGGACAGCACTACTGTACATCTGCTGTGATTTACAGTGATGGCAAATATGAATTTGGTCTTTGATTGGTTTACATAGAAAGCACACTTGTGAGTCATGTGGCTGAGTGGATTATTGACAAAGTTGATATGTTAGTTTAATTATCAGAATAAAAATGTATGGTTATGCCGTCTTTGTTTTCTCAGGTTGGGGTGACATCTCAAAAAACCATGAAACTCCTCCCTTCTGTTGGTCGAAAAGCAACTCAGAAGGTATATCTACATCCCTTTTGAAATACTTTTCCAGGTTTAGTGTAAATCAAGCTCATCTGCATCATCTGTTCTCAGTAAATAGTTACTACCATACCTCTTAACACAGATCATATTAATCATAGTCCACTTTACCTACATTAAATTACATTGTCAGTTATCAAATTGAACAGGGAATATTCTTGTAATAGAAACGTCCACCTTAAAACTGACTGAAAGTATAGAACTAGGTAAGCTGGAGATTAGACCCCACTTGTGGAAGAGCATGCAACAAGTCCTATCCTATCTATGTGCGTGACATTTCCCCCCGGCTTTACAAATGAAGTTGTTGGTGTATTTTGTCATTCTGGTTTGTCATTTTCTCATTTCAGGTGGCTGTTGCAGATCATGATGGTGTTGTGACCTGTTTTGGAATGAAAAAAGGGGAGGCTGTGGTATGTATCAGAAGTGTTTCCCGATTCAATGTACAATCGCGATCGAATGTTTGGGGTCAGTACGATTTCTTTTTAAAGAAATTAATACTTAATTTCAGCAAAGATGCATTAAAAGTTATCAAAATTGACAGTAAAAGATTTTTAATTCAAATATGAAATAAAAATGGTGAATCCTGAAAAAGATTAGAATAGATTAGAGAAGAGAAGATTAGAATAATTTCTGAAGGTTCATGTGACACTGAATACTGGAGTAATGATGCTGACAATTCAGAAATGCATCACAGGAATAAATTACATTCACAAAAAAATTGAAATAGAACCATAATGGAATGGAATCTTATTGTAGTAAGTGTTACCAATAAATATAAATTGATGTTAACACATAAAATAACTTCTTCAAGGGAAGAATAAATGTCTGTTTTTTATTTTTTTGTTTTTTTTTTTGTCAGCCTGTGTTCAAATCGCTCCCAGGACAGAAGATCTCCAGACTTGAGCTTGGAGGGGCATTGGGCACCCCACAGGAAAAGATCTTTGTGAGCTCTGGGTCTGAAGTTAGGGGATACACTAAAAAGGGCAAACAGTTCCTTACATTTGAGGCCAACCTAACAGAGAGCATTAATGCCATGTGAGATCTTGCTTCTTGTTTTTCCGTCTGTGTCTACATCTATATTAATTATTAGCAGATTTGACAGTGTCTTTTTGGATCCATCTCTTCTTGTTTTGCCCCTTTTTTCCTCAGGCATGTCTCAGGGGCAGATCTTTTTGTGTGTGCCAGTTACATTTATAACCATTACTGTGACTGCAAGGATCAGGACTACTACCTCTCAGGAGACAAGATCAATGACGTCCTGTGTTTACCTGTGGAGACCGTGGGCCGCATTGTACCCATCCTGGCCTGCCAGGACAGAGTACTTCGAGTATTGCAGGTAGTCAGTCCTGTCCATATTTGCCACCCTTTGTCTGCTCTTTGTTACCCAGTTATAATTCAGCAATCGCTTGTGGTCATAATATACATAACAGTCATTTTACACTTTGTGCTCCATCAGGGATCTGACCTTCAGTACGATGTAGAAGTGCCCGGACCTCCAACTGTTCTAGAACTCCTTAACAGAGATGGAGGTATGTGCTAAAAATATGATCATTCATTTTAGTGTGAAAGCGTGTATTGGTTTGTTCTAAGAATTTGATAATGCATAAAATCTCGGTCCATAGGAAAAGGTGGTGAAGAGGTTCTTTATGGAACAGCTGATGGGAAACTGGGTCTTGTGCGAATAACCAAATCTGGACCCATTACCGGTTGGGAACTGGATAATGAGAAGAAAAAAGGAGGTAGGAAATTAAAATGTTGAAAACGGATTGCTTATTGAAATATTTACTTTACCTGCACTATTATTTGAGACATATTTATCGATTTGCAGTGCATTACCAAACCTTTATGTTGTAATATTTTGGGAGAGCTTAGCTATAATGCCTGTTTTATTATCATATAATTGTACTCAGATTAGTCTGTGTTGGTCTTTTCAAGGTGTGCTTTGCATCGATACATTTGACATTGCTGGTGATGGTGTAAAGGACATCCTGGTGGGAAGGGATGATGGGACTATGGAGGTCTACAGTTTGGATGGTTCAAATGAACCAGCACTGCGATTTGAGAATGTGAGTGTCAAATAAATCATATGAGATGCATGAAAAACCCTTGTTTTGTTTCTGAAAAAGCAAGAAAGATGTTGTCTTAAATTAAATTAAATTTTTCTTTCTGTGTTTTCAAGGTTTTGTCTGAGAGCGTCACGTCAATCCAGGGTGGCTGCGTCGGAAAGGAAATGTACGATGAAGTTCTTACAACAACTTACACAGGTTTGCTGTTAGATAAAACCATTTTACCATGTCTTTTATGACAACAATACTATGCGGCTGATGTCAGTGCTTGAAGTGACCCTATTATTAGCATTAACAGCTTTAAAGTTTCCTAAATTTGTTTTGAAAGTCTTCTACAATAGTTTTACATGCATCCCAGGTCCAAAAAAATCATCTGAGAGCTCATAAGCAATTTGTGGTCATGTGGCTGGTTTCCAGGATGGGTGTCAGGTCTCACCACAGAGCCTCAGCAGATGGTAGCAGGCCCAGGGGATGAGATCAAGATGAGCCGAGAGACCCAGGGCAAGGTTTCTGCACTCCGGTACTACACATCCAGCTGTTTCTCACTAAGAAAACGGCAAAGATCTGCTAAGTAAACTGGTATAGATTTTAAAATGCCTTTTGACATGCCTAGTTTGCTCGTGCATGTTTTAGGGCTGAGTTGGAGCAGTTGCAGGCGAAAGTATTGCAGGGGAGAGAAAAATACCAGCAGAGCTCTCAGTCCAGCACGGCTGTGTCTGCTGTGCCAGTCTTTAGCATCAATGACAAGTTCACATTGTGCCAGGATGATGCCAGCTACAGCCTCACACTTGAGGTGCAGACCGCCATTGACAACCTGCTGCTACAGGTTAGAGAAATACACTGATTCGTCCTGCTTACAGTTGTGTGCACTAGTGTTGGGGTTGGTAAGAATTGTTCATGTTTTTTTTTTAAGTCTCTTATGTTCACCAATGCTGCATTTATTTGATCAAATACATAAAGCAGTAAAATTGTGAAAGATTATTATAATTCTAAAACACCTGTGATTTTAATATGTTTTAAAATGTCATTTATTCCTGGGATGGCAAAGCTGGATTTTCAACAGCCATTACTCCAGTGTCACATGATCCTATCATTCTAATATGTTGATTTGGTGTTTAAGAAATATTTTTTATTGTTATCAATGTTAAAACCGGTTGTGTGGCTAATCATTCATATTATATACATATATATATGAATGATTAGCCACATATATATATTAGAGCCCGACCGATAAAAGATTTTGAAGGCCGATACCGATACAAATATTTCTTGGTTTTAAAATCCGATATTCCGATATATCGACCGATATTTTTTAATATATTTTTTATTTCAGAAACGTGCAACAAAACATTAACAGATTTCTCTAACATTAGTTATTTGTACTTATTTATGAGTTGTAACTAAAATAATATGATAACGCATTTTAAAAAGAAACTTGTTTCTTTTATTGTCAATGATAGTGGCATTAGCTAGCTTTGTGGTTAGCTAGTCTATGATGAGCCATAATTTAGCAATGGATTGTCATACTGCAAATTGTAAATCATACATTTTCAATATAACAGGCCAAGGAGAGATGATGCGTCTCATTGCTATAACTGTCACGCGCTATTAAAGAAATACTTCAGTCACATTGTCAAAAGTTAAAAGGGCAGTCAGTCAACTACACTGTAACAACGTAACGTAACTATTACTAGCTAATTCTGCTTCACTCTCGGATTATTTAACAGCAGCAAAACTGGACATGATAGTCACAAATTTTGTCATGCTTATTAGAGTTATGAGAACTGATGGGGATGTTCTTTTAATTGTTATTCAAGCAATGTATGTATCGTGACCAACTCAACGAGTGTTGCCAACAGGAACGGTGTAGAGTGCCCTCTGGTGGACAAACTATACAACTCCAACACTCATGACATGGTTCAAGCGTGTTTCGTCCGTTTTTATTTTATTTTTGAAATATTCATTTATCGGCCATTATAACTGCCGATACCGATAGTTTGGAAAATGGCTAATATCTGCCGATAATATCGGCCTGCCGATATATCGGTCTGGCTCTAATATATATATATATATATATATATATAGTATTAATTTCTTTTAGTAAATAATAACCCCATGCTAGTATTTTAGTATTTGCTTAAAGGTGCACTTTATTGATTTATTAGAAGATAGTCTATGGCATGTAAATATGAACAGAATGTTATTCTATTGGTCCTGATTGCTATATAGTATATTTTAGCATGCCTGGATTACTGTATCAGCAGTCAGAAATACCCATTTTAATTAAAAATGTATTTTAACCAAAGCTCTTCTCATCTTCATTAATTCAGCATTCGTTTTTACATATGTTGTAATTTCAGCATTGTGAGACTGAAGTTTCCTTGCATTCATTTACATGTGTTTTGTACTCTGTCAGAGTGATGTTCCTATTGACCTGCTGGATGTTGATAAGAATTCAGCAGTGGTCAGTTTCAGCGAATGTGATTCAGAGGTAATGGGTTCCATCCTATGTGCCATATCATTAAGCTTACTTAATGATCACATCACATGTGTTTGCCAAACTGTTTTTGTTTGTTCATCTAACCCCACAGTCAAATGGGAACTTCCTCCTCGCCACCTACAGGTGCCAAGCAAATACCACTAGGCTTGAACTGAAGGTTTCTATTTCATTGTAATGTTTTTGTTTTGGATTGTTTCCCATTATAATAACATATATTGTATTTTGTTTAAATTGCTGCGTTTGAGCATTTGTCCTGATTTTTCTCTAAGGTGAGGTCTATTGAGGGTCAGTATGGCACCCTTCAGGCTTACGTGACGCCAAGGCTTCAGCCCAAAACCTGCCAAGTGCGACAGTACCAGATCAAACCACTTTCCCTCCACCAGAGGACACACTCAATCGACCAGGAGCGGTGAGCGAAGACACACTTGCATATCATGCATTTATCCTGCCAAATGATATTAACATGATTGTCCCTCTTCATTGCTAGGCCTGTGAACACCTTGAGACTGACAGGACAGTTCAGTTTTGCTGAGATCCATTCCTGGGTTGTGTTCTGTTTGCCTGAGGTCCCAGAGAAAACTCCGGCAGGAGACAGCATCACTTTCTACTTTCAGAACACTTTCTTGGGAACACAGCTAGAAGCCACCTATTGGTGAGGCCAACCAGTTTAATATCCAAATGCATCTTAATGAAATGTTTCCATAAATAAATTCTACCTATGTTTGCATATGTTAAAGGGCTGATTATGTTTTGTCATTAGGTATTTTTCCATTGGAACTTGAAATATTGCATAAAACATGTGTTTTAGAGAACAAGATTGTCGCTTCTTGGAAACTGGTACAGATATCTGTAATACAAATACAATCATTTTGATGACAAATACAATCATTTTGATGACAGGCTTTGAGTCAGGCATTTCAGAATGACCCAAACAACATTTGAGATGGTGTGCAATGAAATTGTTCCAATGGTTAGACCAGTTATCCAATCACATCCTCTGTTGAGGCAGTCATTTTGTTGTGCGTCACATCATTTATCTGGTAAACGTGTTTCCATCTTAGTTTATGTGCTTTTTTTCCACCAAATATTATCCACCTTAATTAAGCAGTGCACATACATTATTTATGTGTTTTTTTATGCGGTATCCCAAAATTCGCATCAAAATAAGTGGAATGAAACATAGCTGTTGTTGATTTCACATATATCGATTTTTGCCTATAACATTTGGATAAAGATTCTACTAGATGATTGCATTATTAGAGGAAGTGTTGTGATTAATCATTATAATAGTTTTTGTTTCCTTATTTTAATGGATTCCAGTAAAGGTGAAGCAAACTTCAAATCTGACAACATTTCTACCATATCCATACTGAAGGATGTTTTGTCCAAAGAGGCCACTAAGCGAAAAATCAATCTGAATATATCCTACGGTGAGTTCACAGACTGATGGATGTTGTCAGACTACAGTGATCTTAATTATTCATGCAACAAATATGAGTGATAAGTGCTTTCTGTGTTTGTTATGTTGGTTTCAGAGGTGAGTGAAGACTCTGTGAGCCATACTCTTCGAATGATTCATCCCAAGCTAGAGTATCAGCTGATTTTGGCCAAAAAAGTTCAGCTTATTGATGCTTTAAAGGTAAAACATTAAAAAGACAAACAAAAAAGTCTGCTAAAAAACAAGCCTACTAAGTGTGTGCGTGTGCATGTATTGTATGCAGGAGCTGCAGGTGCATGAGGGGAATGCTGATTTTCTGATTCCAGAGTATCGCAGTATACTGGATGAATCTGCCCAGCTCTTAGAAGAATATAAGAAACAACCTGCTCACTTAGAACGATTGTACGGTAAGTGAACACAGATGAGCACCGGAGACTGTATTTTAACCCTGTTTATTCCAATGAGGTCTTTGCAAATGAAATAATGACACATCTATAAGTAAAGCAACCATTTTGTTTTGTTTTCACAGGTATGATCACCGATCTTTTCATTGACAAGTTCAAATTTAAGGGACAGAATGTCAAAACAAAGGTTTCACAGCTGCTTGCAATTTTGAACAACTATGAACTTGATTCATTGATGGATTTTTTCAGTAAAGCTTAATGAAATGTAAAATACAATTACTATTAAGTAATGTGTTTGTGAATTTAGTTTTTATAGTAAACATATGTTATACTATAGGGATACATATTGTACCATACAGATTTAAATTTAAAATGTGTAATGTAATGATTACATTGATAAACTATATGTGACTACAGTTATTTACTATATTTTTAGAATACTCATCCATTGTCTAGATGCATTTCTACAGAAATAAAAAAAAAAACTTGTGAAAAATGTGTGTGTGTGTGTGTGTGTGTAATTATTATTATTTTTTTTTTTTTAAGATTTGAGCTTTTAGTGATTTCTGATATAATGGATGATGTGGAGAGTTTTGTTGTGTTTGATGGTAATGAAATAATTTGAAAAACAAAAACAAAACTAAGTCTTACACAAGCAATAATTCTCAAATACTAACGTTAGCTGATTTGGTAATGATGGCCCATAATAAAGCTACTTTAAGTACATGTACCTATATATATATATATATATATATATATATATATATATATATATATATATATATATATATATATATAGCTTTTAGTGATTACTGATACAATGGATGTTGTGGAGATTTTTGTTGTGTTGGTAATGAAATAATTCGGAAGTTTCACAAATTGAAGAATTGCCCCAATGCTCGTATTGTCATTTCTGAGCTTGTAAATTACGTATTAACGTGCCCTTATTCTTCTTTAGTCACATTCGTCTCAAACAGTTTAAAAATTCCTTTGAGCCAATGAAAGCAACTCTCAACGGCTCGCTAAGTAAAAGCGGAATCGCAGTTTGAGCTTTACGGGTTCCCGTATAATCAATGACGTTTGGGTTTGCTGCATTCTGATTGGACCGTTTCAATAGTCGCGGGCTACTTGAACTAGGACAGCAGCAATATCAAACCAGGCAGCTGCAAAGCAACAAGGCGCCGTTTGAGTTCATAGAAGTATCTTTTGTGAGCTGGCCGAGGCGTGTTGCAGGCGTTTACACACACCGGCATGGCGCGGTTTCTGTAGGATAGTTGCATGATTTATTTTTGAATCTCGGTTTTGTAAGACGCCGCTGGCAACTGTTTATACCATTGTTTTTGTCCGGATTTCAACAGATCACTTCTGCCAGTTCCCCTGGTTAGTGTGATTGTCTGTGTTTATTCGATGTCCACGTGCGTGTGTTTGATATAAACGTGTTAAAACAACATCAGAATCTCCTTTTAAGTGTTTTCAACAATCGATCTTTTGTGCAGGGCGTCTTGAGCTGATCTAACGTTAACGTTACCGCTGGAAGGATGTCATCTGTCGGCCAAACACAAGGAAGCGCGCTTCATGATTCAGGAGCCGATATTCACAACCAGGAAAACATGCTTTCAAGACTACGCGGCGCAGCAAAGAATCGGACTGAAAACCGAGAAAATGTCAACCCTAAGCCAGGCAACAGGACTGTATTGGGCGCCCTGGAGAACAATCAGCGCAGACAGCCCGTCCTGCGCGCCGCTAAACAGGTTCGAGCATGCAGGACACATGACTATAAAGTGTGCTCTCTTCATAACTTAACGTTACAGGCTGCTTCATGATGTATCGTTTATGCATGGTAGTCTTTAATCAGTGTTCTGCTTTAAATTAAGTATTGCTAACTGCATAATGATAGACTGAAAGTTGCTTTAGTTTAATCAGGCATACAACTCGCAGGTTTTGTTCCTTTGAATCACGAATATAAATCTAATCCGTGTTCCCTTTTGTCAAACGGCATTTATGGCGCCAGAGGTTAAAATGAAATGCAGTGTTAAATGCCCGTAGCTTATTCCCTCCCAGTGCGCTGACCGCCATTTTACAAACCCACTCACTGCTGCTTTATTAAACTAGGTCGTTCACCAAAAATGACCTTTTCACGTCCTCTGATAATATACAGTCTTATGACTACATTTTATCTGGTGCACAAAATATGCTTGTGATTGAGGTTGTCATTCTACCTAACATCTCTCCAGGATTACTAGCTTAGGTACACTTAATATTAGACTCGTTAATATTTCAACAGGTGCATGCCCAACCCATTTCAGGTTCTATTTTTATTTTATTTTTTTGTGGGGTCAAAATAACCCTAATTGTTTAACACAAATCACAAGGTAAAAACAAATGGTCTTGAATAATACTTGTACTTGTATTCAAGTTTTTTTTTTTTCTTTTCTTCTTAGTGTTTCATTGCAACCTTAAGATCATGGGTGTAATTTCCAAGTGAAATAAATATGCATAAAGCAATTAATGTCTTCAGTGCTGTAAGTTTCTTCAGGCAAAAGCTTGTGCCATATGCATAAATGTAAGTGTTCTCAAAAGATGGCAGAAACTAACAATTGTTTTCTGTTCTCTGTGCAGCTGCTCTTTAATAATTAGTTTATAATAGTAATAGACATTCTGTACATGCTCTTGATCATTCACAAAACTCTACATCACCCTGAAAGTTAAGAAAAACAACATGGGTTAACCAGTATTTCCATCGAATTGAAATAGGTCAGATTGACCCCTCTTCATAATATGAAAGGTTACTTTTTTTTTTTTTTTTTCATATGCTGTCTAATCCAGTTTTTTTTTTTTAGGTCTCTGGTCCCCAAATAACTGCATGCAAATCTGATGAACATGGCAGGAGCTTTGGAGAGAAGCCCTCCACCAAGCCACCAGCTTTTCAGATTCATGTAGATGAGCCTGATGGTGCTTGCGCTAAGAAACTGTCTACACAAAAAGCAACCATGGATTGCTCACCACTTACTCTAAATCCCACCGTAACCCGCCTAAGGCAGCCCCTCGCCACCATCGAACTGCCAAATCAGTTGGAAGCTAGTTTTGGTAAGATGGGTTTCTAATTCTTTGCCTGTTTTGTAGTTCTCTATATGAAACCTGTAAATAACTTAATTTTTTTTTCTTTATAAAGATTCTCCAATGGATATGTCAGTAATTGATGGTGAGGAGAGGCCCACAAATGTCAATGAAGTCTCAGATTATGCCGCAGAAATACACACGCACTTGCGGGAAATGGAGGTGAGGAAGTGGATTCATTGAATATGATATTACTTTCTAAAGAGAATGCTTTAGAGGATATCCATTAAAGTGTTTGCTTGTGCTTCCTGTCATCCAGGTCAAGTCAAAACCAAAAGCGGGTTACATGAAGAAACAACCTGACATCACAAACAGCATGCGTGCCATCCTAGTGGACTGGTTGGTGGAGGTGGGAGAAGAGTACAAGCTGCAGAACGAGACCCTCTACCTGGCTGTGAACTACATTGATCGCTTTCTGTCTTCCATGTCTGTACTGAGAGGGAAACTACAGCTGGTGGGCACAGCTGCTATGCTTTTGGCTTCGTAAGTATCTTTGCCTTAAAGCCTCCGACTCCACACCACCCCCCTTCTCCACGCTCACCTTTCCCTGTTTGACTGTAGGAAGTTTGAGGAGATCTACCCTCCAGAGGTGTCAGAATTTGTTTACATCACTGATGACACTTACACAAAGAAACAAGTGTTGAGAATGGAGCATCTGGTGTTGACCGTGCTCTCGTTTGATCTTGCTGCTCCAACAATCAATCAGTTCCTCACCCAGTATTTCTTGCACCAGCCTGTGAGCAGCAAAGTGGAGAGCTTATCAATGGTGAGACCATTTCCTTGTGTGGCCTCTGCCCATTATAACCAAAAATAGATTTAACACCTTTTTGTTTGCCCTCCAGTTTCTTGGTGAGCTGAGTTTGATCGATTGTGAACCTTCCCTGAAGTACCTCCCATCTCAAACGGCTGCTGCGGCTTTCATTTTGGCCAACTACACGCTTGCAGGTGGATCATGGGTAAGGTTGCACAATTCTGAATATTCATAAAGTATGAATATCTTAAACTAGACTGTTTTAAAAAATTAGTGTGACCAACTAGCAGTTAGCCACAGGGTAGTTATTTTTTCAGTGTAAAACTAGACCAATCTGGATTATAACTGGATTATACCCTTCAACTTTCTATTTCAGTCAAAGGAGCTTGTTGAGATGACCGGGTACACTTTGGAGGATCTTATGCCGTGCATTCAGGATCTACATCAGACCTACCTCAATGCTGCTCAGCATGCACAGCAGGCTGTTAGGGAGAAGTACAAGGGCTCAAAGTAAGTTTGCTTAACTGTGAACACTTGGCTGTGTGTTAGCATAAGTATTAGAAGATTGCTTAAAGATTTTTTTTTTAATTATTCTTTTCTTCCCAGGTACCATGAAGTCTCTCTTATTGAGCCTCCTGAGAGACTAATGCTGAACTAACCACCCCATCAGCTTTGTTCATTGGTTCCATACCTCCATGAGAATTGTGCACACCTTTGATGCTTTATTTCCATATCTCCAATAACTGAAGCCATAGCCTCGATTTTGGGGAATGGTGAGATTTTAGTGACATGTACATTTTTATAAGCAGTCCTGAAGGATTGAGCCTTTTTTTGCTTGAAACAACCAGATATTTGTACATTAGGTAATCAAGCATTGTTCTTATATTTCAGTGTTTTTATTCTATTTTTATGAAAGACTCCAGCAGTGCACTTTATCCTTTTTTTACTCTTGTTAAAGTGACCTTCCCCTTTTACATCTTAATAAAAGTCCTGCTGGCCTTTATGCTTTGTCTTGTTTTTGTTTATCATACTTGTAGAAGTTGAGGAGGTCTCATGGGCTGTGTAATGTATAACCTGGTTTTGACAGACAACACTTTCTTTACCAACATTGTGTTTTATTGATTCTTTGGGCCTTAGTGTTAACAATAAGCAGAAAACGTTGCTGTGTGTACTTATTAAAATGCATAGGTAAAAATACAATTTATTGTTGGTGGTTAACTCGGGTCCATTAAATGTCAACTTTTTAAGATAACATTAAGCTTTAATATTTAAAGAATGAAATTCTATTATAGTTGCTGATAATTGGTCCTTGCTGTAAGATGTTATAAATGAAATGCTGAAGGCCTCTGAGTACTACACAAGGAACTATAGTATAGCGACTGCATCATTATGGCTCATTGTTGGGTACAACTTAATGTTCACAAATTAAAGTCCAGTTTATAATGTACTTTATCCTGGTAATACATAAAAGGTAAATGCTGCTGTGATGGGCTTGAATTATTAATTTCTTTTGGAAAGTTGTGGGATTTTTTTTTTTTTTAAATATATTAGATAAATATGATGGTCTCTTAATATACAGTATGTCCTTAAGTGTTTTGTTGCCACAAAAATGTATTTATTAATACGAATAGCAAACTCCACTAATATGTAGTCTTTAACACTTTTACCCTTAACCTGCTTCATGGACATTTAATCCTTTAGACTAGAGGGCTGGATTTATTTCCCATTCAAAATATTTTAATACATTTAATTTGTATAGAACTAGGCCTATTTTCATAGGCACCACAACAAAAATATTATTTTAATGTGTGTAAATTGTGTAATATCTGTGTATATAAAAGTAAGAATGGAAAATAATAGGCTATAATGACAAAAATGTTTAAATATAGCCTATGTATAAATTAATGTATATGACACAAAAAGGCTGTTTATTATTTTGGCCGGTAAAAAAAATATGCTTGGCTGGTGGATTTTTTTCATCTACCAGTCCCCGTGGCAGGTGAGCCAAAAAATTTAGGACCCTCACAGCACACACGAGCATGGCACAGCAGCCAAAAACACACTAACACAAGCATGGCACAGCGGCCAAAAACACGCACACGAGAATTGCACAGCGGCCAAAAACACACGAGCATGGCACAGCGGCCAAAAACACGCACACGAGCATTGCACAGCGGCCAAAAACACACGAGCATGGCACAGCGGCCAAAAACACACGCACACACGAGCATGGCACAGCGGCCAAAAACACGCACACGAGCATGGCACAGCGGCCAAAAACACGCACACGAGCATGGCACAGCGGCCTGACGGCCTGTGACAACACAACTGCTTTAATAAAGAAAAAGGACCATGACCAAACCACAATAGAATATATACCGTATTTTGCGCACTTAAAAGCCTTTAATTTTCTCAAAAAACAACAGTGCGCCTTACAATCCGGAGTGCCGGATAATATGGATATGGTTAATAACGCGAAATTCACCCGCGAACTCGTGCTCTTGTCCATCTTATGCCCGCTCTGTCACAAGCTCAACGCTTCGCGCATGCTTCACGCTCCACTCAAATCGCCCCCGCTCGCTCCAAAAAACGAAAAAAAAAAAAAACCTGCATTATTTGTATTTCACTTTTTTTTGTTTTAGTCTTACCTTACAAAGAACTGAAGACCAACAACAACATTTTCCAAACAGAAATGTTTCATTTCAAATTACAAATTAGGACTAGCCTATATAAGAACAGGAATGTAGCATACACAAAAAGTCCTGTAAAATTAAACGAATAAATAGGCCTAATAATATAAAAATTATATAAACAAAAATATACATAAAAGTTTTAAAAGTAGCTAAATTAACTATGGGCCAGAATTTTGATAACTGAACTTTTGCTCAACGCGCACAATAAAAATTTAAATGGGCTTATAACCATTGTACACACAAACTGCTGTAAAATTAAACTAATATCCTAAATGGGCCTAATAATATAACTAAAAATTATATAAACAAAAACGTAAAAATATATATACATAAATTTTTAAAAGTAGGCTATTAGGCCAGATTTTGATAAGCCTTTTGCGAGCGCGCACTATTAAATTTAAATTGGCTTAGGCCTATATCATCTGTACACACACACACAAAAAATAATTGTAAAATTAAACGAATCAATGGGCCTAATTTTATAAATAAAAATTTGGCTATAGGCCTACATCAACGTGTTAAATAAAAAAATAAATTAACTATTTGGCCACCAGATTTCGCTCCACTCCGCCCCAGCGCGCTCGCGCTTCCTAATAAACGCATCACCCCCGGCGCCGCGCACTCGCTACATTCCCTTTAGCACATGCCCATCTAGTGGATGCATAACGCAAACCCAGTCGAACGTATTGCACGGTATCTTATGCGCCTTATAGTAATCCGGTGCGCCCTATATATGAAAAATGTTCTAAAATATATAAAAATATAATCTGCACCGGATTATAAGGCGCACCTTCAACGAATGGCCTATTTTAGAACATTTTTCGCCTTATAGTGCGGAAAATACGAGTATGATAAAAAGAAGCATGACCTAGCCTACCTTATTAAATCTGCAGCCGTTGCATCAGCGCGCTCTTCTCTGCTACCCTTTCAATGATGCAATCCGTGTCCAAAGAAACCAGAGTCTCTTTTTCGATTGCCATCAACATAAAGGCTTCAAGATGCTCCTCCGCTGTGCTCCTTAATCGATTCTTGATGAATTTTAGCGTGGAAAAGCTTCCCTCACATGCAACTTGTGTCACAGAGAGTTAGAAACTTGTATTGATTGAAGTCCGATTAGACAGGAGTCAGTGAGCAGGTTATACCTTTGTAAGACATAATAACAACAGATGGGACATTTTCTGCAAGATTGGCAGGTTTTGTTCACAACATCCCATTCTTCATCTAGACTCTGCTCATCATCTCCATCCCCAGTACTCATTTTGGTCAGATACTCTTCGCGCACAGACACCTTCAGCTTGTCCCAGTGCGTAGCCAGGCTAAGTAGTTCGCCCTGTAAGGCCTCAGGAGTTGCTCTGCTATCGTGTCTGATCAGTTCTGTAAGGGCTAGCGCAAAATGCGGCATCGTTTGGCGCTCAGGGCATTGAGTGCGCCTTCAGGTACACCGTTACATTTCAAGTCATTGAAATTCTGGGGATCAAGCAGGGCGAAATCTGTGTATAGTTCTCTGTTTTTAGCAAAACGTCGGGAAATACTTTCGATGATGGTATCCAGAATGACATTATGCACTTGTACCTCATACTTGCTGTCAGCATCTGATATGGTTGTGTCATCACATAACTCGCCTGGCATCTTTTTTGTCTTCTTTGGTCTCCGGTTTGGCAGCGCATGTTCCACCTCTGCGTCTGTCTCACACACACATTTGATTCTCCATTGGCCCATTGCACAAATGCGTCTGTTGCTGTCTTTACCCTCTTAAAATCCCTTGCATATTTTTTCAGATTGTCTTGTGTGCTTGTGACAAAGCGATGGGCCGTGAGCAAATCCATCCCACTAGTTTGCAATTACTTGGAAAGTGGAATTGTTTGTTGGAAGATGCGTAAAAACGTCTGGGCAGTGAGGATGGTTTGGTATTTCAGCAGAGCCTCTGCATAACCGTCGGTCTTCGCACGCACAGTCGGCTTCATATTGTCTTTCTCGCTCAGGGCCTCGAGTGTAACAACAAGATCAATGTAAAGACATCCTTCTGGATCCCCAAACTTCCCAAACACTTTTGTAAGCGTCTTTGGCCTACCATCGGGTTTCAACCCTGATTCGGCGGAGCACTCCACCTGATGAAACACTTAAGCTTCGTTAGCTGTAGTCACGTGACGTAGGTGTTTCAATCACGATTCGGACCAGTGTTTCGAATCATCTGCGCTTCAAAGCTTCGAAACGTCTGTTTCGCGTCAGCCATCCCTAAAAATATCAGTATTTTTACGCTCTGACTGTGTTAACTGCCTCAGAACACGCAACTTTCTGTGTCTCGGCTCAAAACAATAGAAAATCAGACCGGCCCTTCTGGCATGTGCCAGACTTGCCAGATGGCCAATCCGGGCCTGGTGGTCAGTACTATCATAACACATTCAACATAAATTGTCACTGACAGATATCCTTGAACGATCCAATCGTTTTTACACTAGTCTTGATATATTAAATGATCGGTTACACATCAGCTCTAATACACAGGCAAGCCATTGCTTACGTAATCTTGTTCAGTAACAACTGTTTAATGGCTTTAAACTGAAATTAAACCATCACCAATGTTAGTTAGAATTTATTATTAGATCATAGATTTTATTCATCTACACAGACCATTATCATAAACAGTGGCAATAAATACAGACAACATGCCTTGAACAAGCAAATAATTGACAAATTCTAAAATGCAAAAAAAAAACTTGCCCTAACAATAAATAGCATTGAAGGCAAAGAACAGTTAATAGTATAGGGCTCTCTATGTGATAGATGAGAATCACAGGATATTTACACCTTAGTCATCTGTTCATATGAAGAAGGCATCCTGAAGTAACATTTAAAACTTCATGGACTCCAATGGCATTCAAGTCAAATATTGGGGAAAAACTTGGGGGCAAGGTACATTAAGATTTTCAGGGTAATCCAGTACAATATAAAAAAAAAATTATTAGCAAGAACATAAAATTGGAATCAAACTGAAGAACAGACAAGTATAACGACAGCTGATCCCAGACTCAATCTCATTAGAAAGACAAGCTATTAAGAGCAATATCTATTTAACCTAGCATTTAAGATTCAAATATCTCAAGGGATCCTCTCTACCCCCCAAAAAATCAATATAAAAGCTCTAATGAACTGAAAAAAAGTTGTACCCCCTTTACAGACAACAGTGCAGAGATACATCTTCTGGCTGATTTGTTTTTTTGGAAGCAGTCAGATTGATAGTCCCTCCAAAGAGCAAACGCCTCAGTGCAGAGGAGGACAACCATCTCTGAGCAATCAAACTTGGCCATCT